ACTCACTCATAGAGAATCTCTCACAAAAATGTAGAATAATTTTAACTTGATGAGTGATTTTTTACAATTTGATATTGGAACATTACTATTTGGAGATTGGCAACGACTAGCTTCATGTCCATTCTCAAATCAACGACAACCTCATGGAATTTCCTGACAGGATCCTACAACCCTTTTAAATAGTTTTAAACACTGAAAATGTGGAAATATATGTTATAAAATTGTAGAAAAAAATGAAAAAAAGTCAACATGCGATATTCAACTTCCTTGCATCATTTTGGCTTTGAGTATTGCTCATTCATAACTGACCATATGCTGGAGACCTTAAGATTATTAATTTTTTATATTCTCGTTTCACTACTTTAGCTGCCCTCATCTGGTTAGAAATCAAACATAGGAACCACAAGTATTGTATTTTTTAGGTTTTACACATTGTTGTGTTGAACAATGGAAGAAACAAGCCCCAAAGTATTGTGATGGTGCTGAAAATGTGACAGATGTTACATAGCTTAATTTGTCTCATATACATAAACTAAAAATGGTAATAAGTGATTGTCATAAGTAGCCCCCCAAAAACGGGACAATTAAAAAATTATGTATTCTTTGATAAACATCATTTTGAGTCAAGCGACCATTGCAGCATTCTATTACTATTGTAACACTGGCACCAACAATCCAGTGGCTCCTTTTATTCCCTTCTCTTAACCCCAAATGATGTATTTAGTAGCAACCATCAGGAATGAGTTAAGATATTTTTGTGGTTTCAGCATCATTCGAACGTTATTAAAACCAGGAAAGGGGCCCAATTATAATTTTCCCCTTGAACAATCTGACTATTCTGACATTCGCACACACTGAATTTGTGCACGGCAGCAGGCCTAGAGCATATGTGGATGAACTACAATGACTTAAATTGTTAGCTTTTTGTATTCAGTATTTTATTCATTTCAAAATAATAAATGGCTGTTTTAAATATGTGAATGTTACAAAAAGTTTCAAAATCTAAGGAATAAAATTTTCAATATCATCAACATAAGAAAACGTGCTGTGAAGCAATTCTATATCAATAAAAAAGTTCAATTCACAAAATTTCAAAAACTTTCTTGTTGAAAACATCATATAACAAAACAACATTTTATATATATTGTGTTATATATATATATATATATACATATATATATTACCTTAGCGGTCATTTTGATCAAATTGACATAACGGTTACCTTGCACAATGCGTTAAACAAATCCTATANTATATATATATATATAAAAATTTCTGTTTTTTTTTTCGTTATTATATGCCATATAAAAATTTAGTAGCATCCTTATTAATATGTCACAAAGCAGTGGCAATGTATCACAGACAAATTTTTTCATGAACAACCATTTTTACAAAAATGTAAATATATTGCACATTATTATTGTTAACTATGACCTGATATAAGGCAAAACAATAAAGTAAATTGTATACTCTATTCATTGGTCGCATAATACAGTAAGATTCACTTCTTTTGTAACACTGATCAAATTTTATTTAGACTTTGGTTGCTTGATATTTTATTATGGAAAAAATTCTGGTTTAGTAATACTACTAAAAAATGTGCCAATAATACTAATTAATAGGTTCATTAATTATTAGTACAATCTCATTACATTATTAAAAAATTGTAATTTGATCTTGGCTACTAAATAGGCCAATTTGTAAATATAATTCATAAGAAATATAATAACAATGTAGTTGGCTACTGATAAAATTTTGTTGAATTAACTTTTTATTTCATACACTTAAATTTTAATCATTAAAAAAAAAACATTAAACAAAGAAAAATAATAATTTTAAGAACATTAATAGTTTTTTTTTTTTACATGTGGTACAGAATTATACTTCATGTAAAAAGTTCTGCCAATGAAATGTGATTTAATATAAGATAAGTTTATTTGCGCTTTTTTTTTGCTATAAAGCATTTTAGCACAAGATGGCTCAGCTTAAATAAATACGTACTGAAATGGTAACTTGACCAAAGTATGACTTAATAATCTTTTGAAATTAATTGTTAATTTTTTGTAAAAAATGAAGAAATATTTGTACAGAACGAAATTTGATTTCACTTTCAAAAATCAACGATTAAAAGAAATACAAGCAATATTTTCTCTGCTTAACATCTATAATAAGGTGATTTTAAAAAAGGATTAACAGATTGACAAGGAATTTTTTAAATTCCTAAATATTTACAAAAGGCATCTACTACATTGAGTAAAAAGTTTTAAGTTTAGCTGAACTAATTTATTAAGCTTATGCTTAATCCTGTTCTTAGATTTAAATAAAATTCACTTGAAACTTCACCTCAAAAAGATCATTCAATTTTTAATTATTTTTTGTACGTTTCAAAATACATTTAACATTTTTGAGATCTCTTATAAGTGAATTTAAAGACAACAATATGACACCTTAAGAATATATATTATAAAATATAAGCACATTAATATAAACCATTGTTAATCAGGAATTTTGTGCTGAAACCATATTTTTTCTGCAAAATCTATTTAAATGTGATATTCTGAATAAAAGTTTTGGTCACTTTTGTAACATATGAGAAATTAGAACATCTCATTGAGCATAGATAAATTAACATAAAATATAACATCAACTTTCACATATATCCTATCATTCTCCTGGCATTACAACTCATAACAATGAACCTGACCAGATCAACATCTATAAAAGTGAAAGTGATGATTTTGAGTAAACCACAAAATCTTAAAATGAAAAGAAATGAAATAATCTGAAATATTTGGTGAGTGACATACAAACAATCAATGATACACATCTACTAGATTGATATGTGTATTTTTACCACAAATAGTTTGATTTATAAGCATAATTAAATGTTAAGAGAGTTGATGACAGTTAACATAAACAAATAATCTTACTGAAGCACCAGGGCCTCCAGTTCATAAAGAGCACAAATCATTTTAAGATGTGTTACCGGTATATTTTGGGTTAAACATGATTTCAACATATAAGAATATTCAATAAACTTTCATCTGATGTTGCCTCAAAAGAACTGTGTTTCCTAGCTAACCGATGCTGAAGCCCAAAACGAATAAATAAGATTAAGTTGATTTGAGATATTATCATTATATTAATACATTAAAAAATTGGAAAGACATAATAGTTACCATAAAATTAAAACATTAGGAAAAGTATAAACTTTGAATAGGATTTTAACTCTTACTTTCTGTGAATGCTTGGAACAACTTTAAGGTCACAATCTACAGACAAAGTATTATCTTGAAAGTGGTGGAATGCATCTAATTACTGGTACAAAAGACATTTATTTTGCAAGTTGGGATTCTTTTCAATTAAACTTCTTACTACTTTAATTCAGAAAAAGTGCAGATGCAATGATAAGTTTCAAATTTTTTTTTTTTTTACCTTTAATATATGAAGTTCATCAGGTATAAAACCATGGTATTGTTCAAATGCCTTGCTCAAACTTCTGTCTATTTTCTTTGGAACCAAAGAAGTACTTAATTTAAAAACAATATAGAAGACCGACATATTTTATTTATGTAAATGTTATAAAAATATAATTTAACATACAATGCATTACACAAAAATTTCACTTTATGCAACTGTTAATAATACTTATTTTCAAGACTAATATGCTTTGACCTTAAATACTCTGCGGATAAAGTAGCATCTTTTTAAAACAACTTTAGAACTGAATATATGTATAAATGTATATCTGAATATATAAGCAAATAAAGAGCTAAAATAAAAATGGATCACTTTGTTGAATATCAAACGTTCATGACTTAAATCACTTCCCTTTGTCTGCTAAAATTATTCTACTCCAATCCAAATCCTTCAGCATTATTTATAGCTGTGAGGAGCTTCTGTTTTAAAATTTTTTTGCTTTTGTAAGGAGGCAGAACCAGCTGGTTGAAGCAAGTGTGAGACATGGGCAATCTGCAAAGTAAATCAAATGGATTTTGTAAAATGATGAATTAACAAAGTTCATTTAATCCACAAGGGAAATAAATGCTGTATGGAATGGACTATTCAGTATTTCAAGGCATCTTCTTTGGGGCAGTTTGGTAAACTTTAAGTTTAAGTTAAAAAAAAATCTCAACATACAATGATCATAGCAAAAATAGCTTGTTGAAGTCTAGGTGCAAAATTTGCTACTACCCAAAACCTCTATATTTTTTATTATTAAAAGAAAGAAAAGGGATGAAAATAAAATTATAACAGGTCAGGTGAGTACGGGGGTACCATTAAATATGATAAGAAATACAGAAATGACTACTGGACATTAATTTCATTGGTATTACTTATTCCTACAATGTACTTTTGCATTTATAACACTAAATTAGTAAATCCACAATTATTCTTTTTATCAATTTTAGGAAAATTACCAATAACAATAAAACAAACAATTAAAATAGTTATGTTCATTAAAGTTATTTATAACATATAATTTCAATAAATATATAGCTTACAAACTAGTGTCATCAATGCGAGAAATCTTGAATGTCATCTCACTCATACCACCAATAGGGATGCGGTCACTTCCAGTTGCAAATAGCAATAATCTCTTTTGTGTTTCCAAGTTCAAGTGAAGCAAAACATCCCAAAAATATCTGTATCATCAAAATCAAGTTGAAATATTGACAATTTCTCTCCACATTGTTATAAGGGTGATGTGATAAATAATATTCTTAAAACAAGTTTAAAAAGTAATCATTAAGCCTTTTAAAGGGAAAGTTCATTAACTTGAGCTGTATTTCAGCTAGCTCACACCACTTCTTTAAACATGGTGTGTTAAGAATAATAAGCTTTACCACAGTACATAACCCTTTTTAAAACAAGGTAATTCTATTTGCAAATTGAATATATTCGCATGGTAAATGATGCCTAATGTGAATCATACTTTATTGTGGGCTCATTAGGACTGAAGCCATCATAAACAGTGACTTTCATTAAGTCTTCCATTACTAGAGTTGGACTTCCACATACCAAAGTCTCAACTTCTTCAGGTCGTAGCATCTGTTTTGGGAAAAATACATTTACTGTACACTTCAGGTTGTCATTAAATAGTTATGAAAAATTAATTTAGAACCAAATGATCACAAATTGTTTATTCCATTAATAAGACTAACAACTTCTACTTGAATATTGATAGTCATATTTTTATATACAGAACTTACGATGAGAGCATTTGAAGCACAAACACTGTGAAAGCCATGATAAAAAGCTTGAAACTGAGAGTATATAGAGTTGTTGACAATCCACTCTGCATACAGCTGAACATACTCTGTGGATATCATTCAGCAGTTTAAAATATTAATCCAGTAGAAAATTGAAGCTATGAGGAACAATAATGCTAGATTTGATCAGTGAGCTTATTTTAAAAATTATGGTAATCTTTGAATTTTCAATAGACTACCTAGAATTTAAGAAAATATGAAAGCTAAAAAAATAGTTAATAGGCCAAATTTGGTTATTTGGCCAAATTTCCTAGGTTAGATTAAATGCTGCATCATGGCTTACAGATTCCCCATGTTCTAGCTAAAATACATGTAATATTATATGTTCAAACCCAATTATTCATAACATTCACTTTAGAATAGGCAATTTATCCAATAAACTTAAATCTTAACTTATTTTGACCAGATAAAATTGTTAAACATTCTATATTTCTAGCCATATTATGCCTAAACAAAATCCACTTATCTGAAGTTTGTACAACTCAGAGAACAGAAAGTTTTACTACACCTTTCATAGTTAACTATAGACACGTCACTGCTGCTCTATACTGTACTATTTTCTTTCTTTTTTTTAAAATCCTGTTGTATGAAAAGTTGTTTGAATGTATTAGATTTCCCATATGTTCATTATAATTACAATTTTAAAACTGTCCAAAGATACCTTTTTTATTATCAGATGTGACAGGAATACTTCTTCCATTAGGTTTCAGTGGCACAGTCTTGGTATCCCCAACTGTTGACTGAACCACCTAATTAGAAAGAACATTTAAATTATATATAAACTATACAACTATATAAAATTAGGGAGATGAGAGCAGACAGCTTACACAATGACTAGTCTTACTTAATTTACTCATTACAAAATTGCCTTTTTTAAAATTATTTTTTTAGTTTTGTGTGGATGCAACTGACCATTTTCGTGCTTCAAAATAGTGATCTTAAAAATTTTCATGTATTTTTTTTTTCAGCTTAATCAAGAATTTTGAAATATTGTATTAAAATTTAGCAATACTTCAATTATTTCAAAATGGAAATATGTTGTATCAAAAATTTACCTCAAAAGTGAGGCAAAATGTTTCCTCAACATCACCTTCAAAATCAAGCAAATCTTGTAAACCTTTGGCTACCTCCTAAATAGATGAAATATTGAAGTTAACAATCAAGTATGGCCTTTTTACAAGTGAATTTAAAATAGAAATTAGAATGTTTGAGGAAATCTTTGTTACTATTTAATTACAATTTTTTTTTAATTATGGAAACATCATTATTTGTATCTATAAAAAGATGTCACTTTTGAAAATGAAATACCAGGCCTAGATTTAAAAAAAAAGCAGGCCTACATTTATTTCTATTATTGTCATACCTAATAGTGGTTCCAGGTAATTTTTTATAGCTACTTATTTACAAATGCATATCTTATGTTCAATTATTGAGAAGCTTGATCCAAAAAAAAAAAAAAACCTACTGGTTTAACTCCCTTGAGATCATGCAGTGAAACACTGCAGACACCAACAGTAGCTCTTGGATTATTGAAAGGAACCACTGCGGGTGACAAGAGTTTTCTGTAACAAACTGATGGAAATCTTATATCTAAATTGATTGAATTGTACACTGCCAAACCCATAAGCTGTTTAAGGTTAAGGATTATTACAGAACAAAAACTTATTTTAAGAAACTAATACGATTTGAGAGAGGGTTTTATGTGTTTTAAATCTGTTTTAAAGGATACAACACCAACAAGGTTGAACTCCTGGTAGTTGTCACAAGGTGTTGGACTGAACCAGTGAACTCCGGCAACTTTATCATATGTGAACATTCCTAAAGAAATGAACATTCATTAATATTAATTTTTAAAATGCAGCTTAAATACTGCTTTTTCTATGCCCATTCAGAAACTGTTTTTCTTTTTTTAACAGACAAAATTTTGGTAGAAGTGTTCCCTCACTTATGCTTAGTCTGTTCTTCAATGATTTCCGAGTTTGCTATATATGGTGATATTGGTCACTGACCATGAGATGCAATATAACATGATTTCTTTTTTTTAGACTATAACTCATTCAAGGTAAACTTTTAAAAAGAACAAAGGTCACTTCCAAAGTGCTATAATGACACTTTATTTAAATTCTTTAAATTCCAATATTGTACTGGTTGGATAAAAAAAATTCATAGGAAAGGTCATTGTAACTTGTAAACAGGCAAAAGCATGGATACAATCTTAAATGGGGCAAACAAATCTGAAAACGCCCATTAGTAGACACAAAGAAAAGGTTAATTGTATCATTTGGCAAATATATGAATAATAAATATAGATTTTGCATAACATGATAAGGTGGGCTTATTTTTACAAAGTAATTAATAAAGTAATTTTAATTGCTACTGACCATAATTTGGCATAAAAATCTGTCTGACAAGTAAGAGAAACCACTCCTTTGTAAGGCCTCCCATGTCTAATCCTGGCTCACCAGCAAATGACACTTTCAGTTTTTTCTTTAGATCATGTTGTTTTTTAGCAATCTGAGCACACATAAAAACTGGGCTATATGAATACTTTAAAAAATCAATAATAAAATTGACATCTGCTATGATGATTTTCATACATTTGACTTTGTTTTAGAAGAGCATGTCAAATTTATTTGTATACCCTTTGCAACTGCCTCTTATGCCTATTCTTTTCAAAGGAAATGAAATAACACTTATAGTTAGTCTAAGCTAAGTCTTAAAAATATCTATTTAAAATATTCAATCAATCATATCATGAATCTTCATTTTCAAAAATGTAGGTTGGATTAAAAGAAAATCTCCTCAATTTGAAGAAGAAATTATCTTACCTCACTTAGTGAATCTGAAACTAGATGAGATCTTCTCACTGTCAGATTGAGAAAGAGCATTCCTATGTCTGGTAATTGCCTTCGCTGAACTTTGGCAACAAGACTTTTCTGAAAGTTCACAAATCTATTTATAATTTGCTTTTTTTAACATAATTTCAAGAAATTTTCTTGAATAATGTATATTATTATGATAATTGTTACTGAACACAATAATTATAAGTATGGAAATTTGTGCATAGTTTAAATAAAATAAAAATAGACAAGGAATGGAAGGATTTACCCTGGCCATGATAATCATTTGCTGCTCAGAATCTTTTTGGAGAATAGACTTTTTGGCTGCTATGCTAAGTATGAAAGGATACTGACAAAATGAGAATCTGTTGAGAAAAATGATTATGGCTTGTTACATTTATTCAAATAATAGTTTATTTACTAAATTTTTAAAGGCTGACAATATCTACTAAAGAGACCTAAAGGTGATTATTATTAGGATTTAAATTTATCCACAAATGAGTTGCATTGATATGGATCATTCAATAATAACTGAAAGTAGACAGTAGAGGAGTGCACTAAAAGTATGGGAGAGTATTGCTGTCACAGTCGATCCATTGCTAGCGTGGTTTTCCTTTGGCCCTGCAATGCAGGCTGATTAACAGGTATTCTGAAATTAATTTGCTGTTGGGCCATATACTGACTGATTGGGATGACACCAACCATTTGTCTTATTTCCTGGTTCTGAATGTGGTCTCTTCTCGCTTTACCAATTGCTCACCCTTAACATCTCATCTTGCAGGTGAAGAGTTTTGTGTGAGTTTTATTAAAAGATCAAGTCTGAAACTTGAACTATAATCAGCCTATAACTATAATCAGCCTATCATATTGCAAAAACTGATGAGCAACAACCTATAGTCTCTCATCAATTCTAAGTTTTAAATTATAATTTGTGACCACCTACCCTGCATGAGAACTAGGGTTTTGCCAAGCATAATATTCTGCCATTAAATCAAGATGATCTAGAGTGCTGTTGTAGAATTCAACATAAGGGACAAGATGGGGTATCAGAAGACTATTAGCTGCATCTAAAAAAATTTGAAATAAATCTATGGTAAAGAAGATATTTTTCAAAAATGCTAATTAATTTATGTATTAAAATTATGTACAACTCACTAATGACAAATTAAGAATTTCTAATTCTCCATCATTATTTGCTAATTGACGAATAGTATTTCAATTAAAATAATACTTTTGATTGTATATATATATATACATCCTTCCGTCTTCGCGAGACGATGGAGTAGCTATGTAGTCCTACACTCACTAGGACAATCCTAGAATGACAATGTCGACTGCATTTCTCGCAGAGGAATATTGATTCCTTTGACTTCCGTATTGTTCTTATTGTTGCAAGGGCTTCGTTTCGCGTATCTTCTGCCTTTTTTACTCCTTCATACACTGCTGTTTGCCAGCTGGAACGTTGTTTGGCAATGAGCTCCCATTCATTGTTTACAATATTGGCTTCCCTCATGCTCCTTTTGCAAACATCCTTAAATCTAAGGCGTGGCTGTCCAATAAGTCTTGTCCCTTCTGCCAAATCTCCATACAGCAGCATCTTTGGGATTAGGCCTTCCTCCATTCTCCTTACATGACCTTACCAGAGAAGACGCCTCTTGCTAAGAGCGGAGAATATGCTAAACATTTGTGCATATTCCAAGACCTCCATGTTAGGTACCTTGTCCTGCTATCGAATGCGTAAAATGCAACGCAGACATCTGTGATGGAAGCTGTTTAGTGTCCGCTCCTGACTGGTATATGTGGTCCACACTTCGCTGCCATATAGGAGCATACTAAGCACACATGCCTGATAGACACTTGTTTTTGTTTTATCAATTAGATTGAGATTATTCCACACCCGCTTATCTTCTCCTTCTTCTATATCTTAAGGGCCCACGATCAATTTATTTATCATTTTGGCTCCTATGCATGTAGATGGGATTTGCAAGTTTATGTTCCTGGTGTTATTCAGTTTAGCCATAGTTGCTGCTGCTTTTGCGATCCTTTTGATTGTAAATTTAAATAAAACATCCAAACTCTGACTTAATTATTTTTTAAAAAATATAAATAAATAAGGGATATGTGTGGCACTCTTCAAACATCTCACTTCAAAAAATTTTTAATGATAAGAAATAAATAAAATTTCTTAACAATCATCTCTTTTGGCAACACCTTCAATGATATTGTACTAAGGACTTTATAAGGCATTTTTACTACTAGCTATGTCTATAACAGTTTTATGACTCTTCAAGTCTAAAACCAAGTATATAAAACTTATTGTCATCTGTATGAATAATAGAAGAAACGTTAACCAAATACAGATTCATGTCAATTCTAACAAATTCATTTTATAAAACTATAAATATGTGGGCTACCGGGTACTTTTAAAAATCATATATCATTTTTATTTCTGCATATTATCTAAATTGTTCTGAAAAACTAAATGAAAACTTACTAAGTAAGGCCAGCACTTTTGTTGCACTTGGGATCCACCATGAGCATTTGGCTAATGGAGGTAAATCACCAGGTTTAGGTGGAAACAATCGGCCCGAGATAAAATTGTGTATTCTTTCAATAATAGCTCTGAACCTGTCATTCTTTAAGCTGCAATTTTAAAATTTATTAGTAGAAGGTCATTCATAAACAAGAAATTGCAACAAAAGAATAGATCTAAATTGTTGTAAAAGGAAATGATGAGCTGAATATTTAAAACAGACAAAACATTGTTTTCTTGGTCTTGGTACAATAGAATTGCTGGCTGCCGTCCATGGTTTGCCTTGTAAAAGTTATGTGGTTGGGTGGGTGAATATAGATTGCTGTTCTTTATTTTATGAATGTATTTTATTTTAATGTCATGATTATGTCTCTTTTGATAAAATTTTTCTGTACAGCGGTACCGCGCTATATAAGACGTCTTATTATTATTATTATTAGAATGAATTGTATAATGTAAAATTCTATGGTTTTTCTTTATTTGCTTTTCACAATGAAAATAGAATTCACAACAAAGTAATGTTGGTATTTATAAATTATGTAACATTCCTCAATGCTATCTGACCTTTTAAGCCAATGAACTAAATAGTGATGATCATGGTCAGATAAGGCAGCAATCTGTCTCAGAAGGTGAGCAAATATCACATAAGTTGTCTGATTTCTAAACTGAGGATTCTGTGCAAAAACATCAATAGGTTAAATTTGTTTGCGATTACTTTACAAGAGTCATTTTACATCAATAAAATGACAGAATGGTTCAACAAATAAACCTTTTTAAATACTGTTATTAGTTTAAGATATAAACTTCATCAAGAATCAAAAATACTGCAAACCAGCATCTTCACATTGGTATAAACTAAAGTTATTATACCTGGAGAAGAACCAAGAATGCTCGCAGATCATCTTTTGAATGGACCCTGCAAAAGGAGATTTACAAAATGTTTCCTTTTTTTTTAAAAAAAAAGGCTTCCATTGCTAAAAGACATTTAGCGACTCAATAAAAAATTTTTTTGTGTGTGTAGAAAAAATTAGGCTTTTTCAGTGAATATTCATTTTAATGAACAGCGTTTTTTAATTTTTTAACTGAACATAAATGCGATTGGAGCCTTTTTTATCCAACGTTATATTTTAAATATAGTTGAGTAAAAATTAAAAGATTAACTTATTCTATTTAAAAAAACAAAGCAAAGAAAACAAAACATAATTTTATTTCCACAAATGATTTTGATCTTTCAGATTAAGGAATGAATGAAAAATATATGAAAATATTAAGTTTTATCAAATTATCATTATTTCATTATTTGTTAAACTTCAACAGAGAGCACATAAAATTAAATCCACAATTAGACACATTTGATGAACATCAATGGCTTACCACAACCTTCCATCATGACTCCTACAGTAAATTAGTGATTAAGCAGCATGAGGGGGTAAGACAAAAATATTTCACTTATAGCAGCATGCTTTTAAGGATTTTAATTTCTTAGCAAAAATCTAAAAGGTTCTTTACATTTTAAAATATATGTTTTTTTTAATGTTTATAAAATAAATGTTCATCATATTATTCAATGAATGTACTAAACCACAATACATTTTTTTTATTGAACCCAAATAAATGTTTTGAGTCTGTTTTCCAAACATAAAAACATCTTTATAAGTTTTTGTAGCCTATGGATATCCAGATAGCACTTATTGTGTGCATTGAAAGCAATCTAAACAAACCTTTTATCTTTCAATAAAGAATTTATTATTGCCTTTAGAACTTCTTTCTGGAGTCCCTGAGGCTGGGAACAAAAGATCACAACAAACCTTTATCACAATGGCAGGAACAAAACTGGGGAGGGGTGGAGGGCATTGATGCATGGTGAGAGCACAAAACCTGCCTAGGATTGGGCCCTTCCTAAGGGTAATATTGTACATTTTCTAAGAGATATTTTCTATGTGACCAGAACAAAATGTTATAGCATTTAATATAATAATAAAAAATAATTTAAACATTATAATATTGAATCATTTCAATTGATGATGCTTGAGGACAAGATGCTTTGTCATTCTGTGTCTGGTGACATACATTTTGCCAGGGTGGTTTGATAAGATAATGGAACCTTTATCTGGGTCATCAAGGCCATCAAAGCTTACAGGACAGACCAAATTATTAGTCCATATATTGGACTTACGACACATGAGCTCAGATATCTAATAGGCCTACACCTTGACAGCATTGTCCACTCCATTTTGGTTTCCCTGGCCACTTTTTATACTCCTCATCTAATCAAAACATACCAGGGGTAAAGTGAGGGGTGTGGATCAGCAACTCCAGGACATGATATAAAGTAAAGAGGAACACTATAAAATTATTTTTAAGATTCCCAATAATATGTACACTGTTTGCAGTAGGTCTATGTTACTACATAAGATTAATTATGGTAGTTTTGTTAGGTCAGAACAGTTATGCCACTAATTTTAATAAAGAGTTATTTGAATAAGGTTTCATGTGGTTAAATTTGTCATATTAAAAAAGCAGAACATAATAATATTTTACTTTAGGGACACCCTTGTTCATAACTGCCTTTCCATGTAACGCTTTTGCCAAAATATTAACTTAAATTGATTCACCAGAGAGGGGATAACAACTTCTATAACAGTAACGCCTCCTCTTATTAAAAAACTGGTATTGATTATTTTATTGGAGAATCGAAAATAAATATATACATGATGGGTTTAAACATATTGATCATTGGAACACTAATGAAAATCGTGTAACTTATGCATGCATTTATGATGTCTCAAATAACAACCCATACAATTAGGAACAAATCAACCAATGTGTCCTCTATTTGTGCTAAAGTTTATATCCCATTAAAACTGTACCCACAAAATTGGTGAATATTTTATTATTTTATTTCATTATCTTATTATATTGTCTGGATACATGGATACTTTCTTAAAGGGTTAAATAAATTACGAAACTACTCAAACATAATTTAAAATTAGGAACAGTTTGGAAAAATTCTTTGACATTCTTGTCCACCACACGATTTCATTGGTACATACACAATTAATCTTTATTTTCTTGAAAGATGTGGTGAAAATAGTAACTGCTTGTAAAAAATAAAATAGCCCCATAAAATTTTATCTTTGCTGTTGGCATGCATAAAGGGTCAGATGCTGCAAAGAGCAGATGTTAACCTAATATCGTTGGAATTTCATACTGCATGATGTGGCAAACTCGTTTGACAAACATAGAGCCACACTGCTATTGATTTTTAACATGGATATTCAAATGGAATTATTATGTTCTTGACATTATAAATTCTGATGTCAACTAAAAAATGGATGAAGAGAATTGAATAAAATAAAATAAAAACACACAAACCAACACTCAAATAAAAATAAACATTTTGACAGGAAAGTGGTAATGTGTGGAAAGCTAGATGTTTTTTAAAAAGTCTAGCATTTATAAAGAGAGACATTAGGAGACAATTTTACCTAAGGCAATTAAAAAAAAAAAAAAAAAAAAAAAGCATAAAAAAAAAATTTTTACCTTTGTTAAAAATGAGTTTTATGAAATGCACTAAGCATTATTTGAGCCAATAAATCAATATGGATCGATCAAGTATGGCTAAAGAGATGGCGTATAGCGTTGTATTGATTTTTGAACTGCTGATCATATACAGAAATAATACTTTTGGTAGAAATGGAGTTATGCCATGGACAGCATGACTGCCTTTCTGTTCTCACACATTTCATTTTTTAAAAAAGCGGGGTGGGGGTGGGGGATGGGAGCTGAGACAGGGCTAATTGATTTTGAAGAACATTTAATTCCCTCAGCTTTCTTCTGCTGCAGCCATTGGTCTTTAAAAAAAAACAAGGAGGCATTTTATACCCCTTCAGATGCATATCAGTGAAATTTTATTTAATTAGCATTTTACCTTTGTGATTCAAGTACTGTTAATAGTGATATACATGAATTTTGGGTGAGGTCAGTATTGTTGCAATGATTATATCAATTGATTAGATTCCAAGTGGTGCAAAATGTGATTTACAATAAAATGATGTTATTTTGATTAGAGACGATAAATGACTCAGAAATAAATTTCTGGAAAGTAGCAAAAAAACTAGCATCAGAAATATAGGTCAGCTTTTACTTGGGTGTTTGATCATATTGTAAAGAACATAATCATGTTCACTACACAGAAGCAAGGATAGCATATATTATACTTTACTTTACACAGCATTATAATTTGGTCTGCAAGAAAGGTATTTTTTTTTTTTTTACATCTTTAATTACAAGACACACCATAATCAAAGTTTATCAAATTTATTAGGCAATTTTTTTTCTGACACCATCTATGAGATATTTTTATAAATAATAATTTTCTTTTGACTTAAAAAATACATGTTACATCTGTCATTTCAATTTAATTTCTGAAGAAATTGTAAAATATTTAATATTTTCCTGCTCCAAACTGATTATGTTTTATCTAAGAACACACTCACTGGAATTATACATTGAAAAGTAACCAGCAAAAACATGTAACATTAATTTAACAATTTAGAATTAACCAATGAAGATGGACTTACTGTGTTGACTAGGATATCATAGACCAAGTTAATAAATTCAAATTTTAGGCCAGGATCCTCTATGGTCTTGTAGTCCTTTGACAGATCTCTCTTGCAAACAAAGATTAAACCACAATCAGTTCATTTTCCATAGTGAATATTTAACAATATAATAGATATTCATGTAAATATTATTACAGCTAGTTATCCACTTACAACCTTGTTACTGGTTGACTTTAAGATAGCCCCCAATTATATATTTGTAGTGGATTTTTGGCAAAGCATTTGCAAAATATGACAGGTGGGTAGGAGGCTTTGAGGAGCAGAAGCTCCTTTGTTACTCAGCAATGGGACAATAAAGAGAAGCTAAACATTGAGAGACCCTTTCATATGGCTCTGATCTTAGCTAGACCAGTTTCCCTTGAGCCATGTGGTTAAAAGCAATAGAAAAATATTTATACAAAATTTTCATTTTGCAATATTCTCTTATTCAATGTTGCAGTAAGAAATATCAAAATTTTGCAATGTAACAGTCAATGCAGTAATGCAGTTTCCATTTTATTTTTTTTTTGTAAGATCAATATCCTTTCTTTCCTACTTGTGTTTGCCAGTTTTAGGAGCAGATAAATAAAACTTCCTGTTAAGACATTTTAAGGGTTTTAAATAATATAATGATGTAAACTACAGGGTATTATTTATTATATGTGTCCAAATCGATTTTCAACTGTTCTTTTGAAATTGATTGTGGTTGTAGGTCAACAATAGCTGTATAACATAAAATTTTTTTTGACGTATGACCAGACCTGTTTACCTTCAAACTCTTAAAATTGTAGAATATCATCACAAAATCGTTCAATACGTTATATTTATAGTAAAAAATAAACAGTATATACAACCTATACACCTAAAAATCGTACATTGTACGCCAAAATCGTAAGAGTAAACAGGTCTGTATGACATATGAACATGACATAATTTGCAAACAACCCCTTACACAAACAATATTTTGTTTTACCTTGAAAATTACATTTAGTTCATCAAAGGAATTAAAAGCAGATGTGTAAAACTCCAGTAGTGACTTCCAATTCCCAGAGACTTTAGCATTCAGAAAATCTTCTCTGAAATAGACAGTGAGTGTTTTTTTTCTGTGCACAGCAAAAAACTATAAAACTTTAGTAATATATAACAGTCTTTTATAAAAAAATTTATCATGATAATTATTTCAACACTTTTAATGAATTTTATATACGGTAGGGAAATTTAAAGGCAGTCAAATAATGACATTTTTCAACTTACTTAAGAGTTTCAGCAGTTTTAGCATGAGCAACTGAGGATTTATAGTTGAACTCTTCTTTAGAATCATTAGATCCACCTGGATAACTGGAACTTTGGCTTCTGTTTAAGCTTGGGCTTAGCAGTCTAGAAGAGTAACCAGGTCCATCCCTGTGGGCATCATTCTGACTACTATGATGTTTTTTGTGGTGTATGCAGTTAGCACCACAAGTTTCATTTGTGTGAGGTGAGTGTTCTTCTCCTTCATACCTCCCGGCATGGCTGCTACTGCCATATGATGCCTTGACATTCCTACTAGGTGACAGCAAGTGTCCTGACTCAATGGGGGGAAGGGAGTCTTTCAAACTATTGTTGGAAACATCTGAAGAAGACGATGTTTCCTCAGTAGAGCTCCTTGTTGATCTTCTATTGCCCGGAGTCAAGTTTTGAAAAAAATGTGAAATAGTCTGCAGCCTTCCTCCTGTAACAGTGTCATCTCTTCTATCAGATGAATTCTGTTAAAAAAACACCAAACAAAAAAAAACAATTTGATTAGCTTACTAATTTTTTATTTCTCTAAACCATAAAAGAGCTTCTTGAACTGCAAAACTAGAATTGCTATGTTATGCCTTATAAAGCTGAGCATATACATTTGCTAAGGCATTTCAAACTGAAAATAAGGAATAACAATATGTTGTGAATCAGAGATATGTTGATTATGTGCAGTATGTTCATAATATTTTTATAGATGATGAATAAAAGCATTTTTTAATATAAAAAATATCTTATAAACATTAATAAATGATGGCATCGTTAATGGTTCTTTCACTACTGGTACTTACAGCTCGTCTTTGTTGAGATGAGAGTCTTTCGTTCTGAGACGATCTGTTCCGATGATAATTTGTTGCTATCTCAGCAGCTTCTTTACTATAAAAATTTCCGCATTTGGGACATATTGTTCTCTTTTTTCCTGGTGCTTGAAGAACTGAGTAGTCACATGTAGGACAAGTGACTAAAGCATCTGATCTGTCACTATTTGAAGCCATACGGCTTTGTAATGATGTTGAAGCCAGTTTCAAAATGAATTCATGTTTCCAATATTTATGGTTTCTGAAATGGTATTTATGATATAAAAACATGACAAAAATAGTTATGGCAGTAATGACCATATTAATATTTTTGGGATGAGCCTGGTACTGACCCGGATCCCCGGAAATATTGAGTATCAATATTAGCACAACGGGCACATAACCATATATGGAACTGGGTCTGGCTATTTAAAAAAGAAGAGTTATCTTCTCATTTCTGTAATGTGTTCAACACAATGGAAAATAATGAAAAGTGCATGTATGAAACCATGCATCTTCTTTATATATTTATAAAAATTCTTTTACCTGAATTATGTTAATAATAATATAAAACTAACAAGTGATTGAAGCAATACCAAATTTAAGTTAAATTAAAAATAAATGGCCAAGCTCTGAAAATAATAATATACTTGGTGTGAATCTTGGATGATTAGTTGTCTAGGGAACATGCATAACTTATGTTTTGACCTTGGCACTTTCTATTTGCAACTGATATTTCAAATCAAATGATGATTGGCTGGTGATTCTGAGTAGCCAAGATTATTTTGTATGTGTGCCATTTATAAGTTCTATCATAGAATTCAATAATAGCAACATAATTTAACATTTAATTAATAAATGAAGCAACTGGCTTAACTGAAGAAAGGCTAGGATGATATCACCATGATGATGATATAAATATTTATTAAAATAATATGTGTATCTTGGTACTGGTCTCAGAATAATTAAAATTGCTATCAACCAGTGACCAGCAACACTAATGCACATAGCAAAACTCATCTCCATGTTTGATTTTTTTATGTTTATGGGATAGGGCAGTTGTTCTCAAACCATGGGTCACAACCCCCCTTGCGCGTTGCCTGAAAAAATGTTAGGGGTTGCTTGAGAATTTTATAAATTTGAGGGTATTTCTTGTATGTCAAGCAGACCTGTTTACTCTTAAGATTTTGGCGTACGATGTACAATTTTGAGGCCTATATATAACATATACTGTAGTCTTTTTTTAATATTCAGATAATGTATTGAATGATTTTGTAAGGATATTGTACGATTTTTAAGAGTTGGAGGGTAAACAGGTCTGGTCAAGTGTTTATTTTTTATTATTTGAATTCTCGTTTTAAAATTTAAATATTGTTAACAGTGATACTACTAGTTTCTTATTGTTACTGTTGTTCATCCTTCGCATGCGAAGATGACTAATTCTCAACTTGAATAATCGCCTTGACTTGAGCTGTATTTGTTTCAAGTGAGGGAGAGTTGCTCAATTCATCAGCCTTACTCTCTCATCCTTGCCTATTTGATCCAATGGCAAGAATTAGTAGAGGACCGGTAATAAACCAGGATGAATTAGCTGACCAGGAGTGTGTGTTTCACCATGCTCTTTATGAGTTCTACGTTGCAGGAGTTCTCGGAATTTTCATAGTTTTACTACAATCAGCTACATAAAATAAAATATATGATTCTGATGTGAGCAGCTAATTTAATTTAAATATTTTGGTAGTTTCATTTAATAATAAAAACAACAAAATTATTTTTTTAAAATTTTTGCTGTTTTTTTTTGTTTAGTTTCTTTTTCCTCCTCAACTTAAATGTTGGCAGCTTGCATGCAAAACTATAACCAGGTGTGTGAATTTATCAAAATTTTTCTGTAGATCAACTTACATACCCCCTCTACAGAACCTTCCACTTTTCTTAGTCTTTATGTCTGCTTCCCTCCACTCAAGGTTAAATTTAAAGTACCAGTATCTTTTTATCTAAATAAAAGCTCTGCCTTCCCCCTCCTCAACAACTGTTTCTCAATTTCAGTGTATATTTCATTGTGGATAGCAACAACTTTACAAATGTTATAAAAGGATCATGACAATGAACAGGTTGAGAACTGCAGGGTTATGATTATAATATTAAGCTATTTGTGTTTTGAAAGGTTTTTATTATTAAGCTCTGTTATAAAGCTTTCAACTTTGATAATGATGCATTAGATTGGTGATTTCTACTGATTCTATTTTTATACATGCAATTTTTACTTCTCCCCATTGGATAGAACATATTATAGAAAATGAGCAGATACATTTTTTTTTGTAACACCCGGACCTGCCAAGTATTGTCTCAAAATACCTGGGCATGGTATGAAAAAAAACAACTGAAACTGGCTCAGCCCTAATATATTTTCATAATACAAAATTCAATGTGAATGAACCGTAAAGACGGCTTAAAATAGGCTTATTTTATGTTAAGCTTAAGAACAAATGTTGTTTTTTTTTCTGTCAACTTAGCACTACTTAATGCTCTGGTAAGAAGTGTGTATATTATTTAGACTTAAACATGATTACAACTAGCTACATGTACCCAGCTGCATGGCTGGTAGGAGAGAGTAGGGCAGAATTTTAGGTGATGAAAAGTTGCTATAAATATTTTTTTAAGCATGCCATGATGGACACTGCACTGAAACTCGTCCCTCTTTATCAGAGCTTAGTTCTTTAAGAATATTGTCTTTGATCAGTATATTCTATAAATCCTTTATAGTAAAAGCATTTGAGCTCAAAACTTCCAGCTTACATTCTGATGTGCTCAAGACATTCCTTAAAAAAATTCTGATCTTGGTGCATTTGGTCAGGTTGTTTGATCTCAAAATGGATGGCAACATTCTTAACCCCTGATTTGCCTTACTTATTTTTTTTTGTCACAGTCAGTATCTGTTGTGGCCTTAATCCCTTGGTACTCAAACTCTGTCCCATCTTCAGTGAGCTGTTATTCACAGTCCTTGTGTCGATTCCGACATTTTTTCCCTCTAATACCTGAGTTTTCCTGAGGTTGACTTCAAGGCTTATGGATCTGGCAGTTTCAACTAGTCTGTAGGGGTAAGAACAGCTTGCACCAGCTGTACAGAGGGCTAACATTTAAGCATCCAACTCTGGTCTATGATTTAGGGATAAGGCAATCTGCTCTCAGTTTGTAGGTGTTATTGATGGTCTCCATCTTTCATAAGTCCTGATACTTTGTGTGCTTCAATCCTAATTTTAATTGAGTTGGCCTTTTCTTTTGCCATTTTTTTGTGGGTAGACTAAGTGTTTTATGGGATGGAATTGGTAGCTCCATGCCTGACCATTATCTGTTATATTGATCTGGGGCAGGCTGTTATAGAGTTACTTTTCCTTTGACAAGTTAAAATAATATATATTTACTCTTATCAAATAGTAGTTATAAGGTTGTGATTTATTAAGAAATTTTATGTTAATTACTATTACACTAAATTACCTATAGTAGCATTGTCCAAACACAATAAATGTTTACTTGATAAATAATTGACACCCAATAATAAGAATGAGCTATTATATCAAAAGGCCCATTGATCTTTAATCTGCCAATTTGATTTTTCATGCAACAAGATTTCAGAAACCAAATTGTAAAAAAAGGTACCATTACAACCCAGACTTCTTGATAATCTGAAATGCATGTTAAATTATTTACGGAAACTCATTTATAATAATTTCAATTACTTCAGGAGGGTTTTGTTATAAAACATGTACAAATGAATTTTTAAAATGATATAAGGAATCAATTAAGGCTACTTTGAATCTGCCAGTGACATGACTAGAAGCATTCCATTGAGAAGCATATCACTTACATCAAAAGCTGACATCATCCAAATTTCCACGCAAGAGTTGATGGGCCAAGCAGCAATTGTCGGAACTGTGTCATTAGTAAACATCACATTATTCTTTTTGAAACCATCCAAATGACATCATGTGTTGAGGGGGAGGGGGTGAATTTAAAATGATATGCTTTAAAATTAAAGGGTCTTTTTTTAATTGTTGTGTTACAAATTTGTGACAAAACAATCAAAATAGTCCAACGTCATTAATGGATGGCCCTTGTGGGCTGGTGCCTACATTAATTCACATGTATTTTTGTAGCCTAATAAAATAATGACAAATTTGTATTTGTTTGAATAATGATTAAAAGTTATCTTATAATCTTATCTCATTTTAAGTTATCTTATTAAAAATTAAAAGACCTAGCCTAAGCAAATCATCATAATCATATTCATATTTTTATCTATGCATAATTTGATAATACTAAGACTAAGTAGTTAGAAAGCATATATTTAAAGGCATAGGGTGGTTCATAAAAAGCATATACTTATACTTCTTAAAAATCATATCATTAAATTTTTAAAATTATTTAAAAGTTAAAATCACAAAGTAAAGGGTTAGCATTAGACTAGGTGACTGGTGAGTAGCACATCCACAAGTCACAAGACACTAAAAACTAGTTAAAATTAAAGAGTAACAAAAGTTAAAGTTACTCAAGACTTAAAACTTAAGTCTTAAAGTCAAGTTGAGAGAGACCAAGTCCAATGTCAATATTACAATTCCAATAATTTTGAATTATTAAATTATTGAAACTAAAAGTTGTATAAAATTATAATAAATAAATAATAAACAAACTTTGACTTTGCCAAGTCATTGCATTAACAAACTAATGACTAATTGACTAATGTAGCCTATATTTAAATAATAATAATAAATATATTAAATTAATTTTATTAATTATTGGCATGATTATACTATACTATTACATTTAATTTAAAAACAAAATAATAATAATAAGCCTACATTTACAAGTAGGCCTACAACACAAGTCTAGACTATAGTCCTACTCATGACTCATACTCATACACTACAGTTTAGTACACTGAGAATGTGTCAATCGTCAATTATAAAAAGAATTATAATTAACGGTCCAATATTAACAGTAACAGAAAGCAGTAATTTAATTAAATTATGAACAATTCAAATTCAAACATTTCGCTATCACTAAATTAATGAATTACTTACTTATACTTATAAAAGAAATCCCCATTTTCAAATAAATAAAAGTGAACCGTAATCAGCGATGAACGCTCCAGTTAAGTCTAAACTCATAGATTGTTCGAAGAGTTAACCAGAACGCTAAATTTAGTGAGGCAGATCGAATCGATTGCTGGTTGATGGGGACGCTACTTTTCCTCCATGTTTGTAACGGACAAATGACGTCACGTCAACAGTCCATCGATTGAGCCATGCACAGAAAAAGGCTGGTTCCATTGGCCATCGATTATTAGACCGCTCATCAAAGAAGTCAGTTTCGAACTCTGACAAACACACCAACAAACTAGAAACTGTGTCGAGTGTCGACCTAATTATGATGCGTCAGAAATGAACTGAATTGACTGAATACAGTGAATTGTACCCAGTAGAGGCAGTCACGATCTGGCTTGGCAGTGGCAGGGCCGAAGGCGAAGGAATTTTTAGTATTTTAATTAGTTATTTTTACTAACACAACAAGAGTAAGTTATACCACTTATAAATATCCATCCCCTCAATAATCTGCCCCCGCCACCTACCCTGACGCCGTTCTACTCTTTTTTTCTGCCCCCCCCCCCCCCCCCTTCTTTCTTTTTCATTCATTAGAACATAATAGAGCATGATGATTACAGAAAGTGATGGGAGCTTTCAATGTTTAAAACCGTGAATTTGGAAATGCAATGAAATATAAGGATAATACAATACTGATACGAAGATGAAGCTATTGTCTATACCAGGCCTGCACAACTCAAAATGTAAGGTAGGCCATAATACTTTATGAAAAACGTGTGCGGGCCAAAAGAAAATAGGACAAGACTTGTGCGGTCCAAAATAAATAAGACAGGGGCGAAAGCTGTTAAGACAATAATAAACTAATAAAAAAAAAATATTTCGTTACTTCGCGGGCCGCCAAGTGGGTGCTGGCGGGCCGTATGCGACCCGCGGGCCGTTTGTTGTGCAGGCCTGGTCTGTACAATTGTAAAGTCGATTCAGAAATACGAAGAACGACCAAGCTAAACTTAAAAAATCAAGAGGACATAAATTATGAGTTTATTTTGGTGATTAATAATAAATCAGCCACAAATACATTCCAATTATCCCATGCCCATATTTGTTGTGGGCTATTCTTTCCAAACAGTAGACGAGTAGCCTTGAGTAGGCCCTAGCGTGACTAGGGGAATGCGCGTGTAGTGTAGCTTACGAGCCGGGGCCGGTGAGACCATCACAGTCACAGGGCTCACAGGGACTTTAGGAGGTAACACTAAATGAAAAATTGCTAATTATACATAACTTACTGGACTCAGTTTAATAACAGAACAATTTTAAAATTTGGACTAGGCCTACTGTGTGGGGCTGCCCCCTACCCGGAAAATTTTAAGACATGTTCTAAAATTAATAACAACACAATTTTCATTCGAATCAAACGTAAGCAAATCAAGATAGAGAAAAAATAATTTCAAAATAAACGCAACAAAAATGAGAACACTGAAAATTAAATGAAGTAGCTTGAAATACGTTAAATGAGTAGGCACCCATGCCATATTCATAATCACCCATGCCAAAATTAAATTAATTCATTTTTGCCTTTTCAATTTCCAGAGGATCATATGGCATGGCATATGCATATGGTGATAAGCCGTTAACTATTAACAATATCTTTCCACGTCTTTTAACTTATTGCAAGTTTTCAAACTATTTTCGATCATCCTCTCTGTGCCATGTGTTTTACTTATTTAGAACCGGTCAATTTTAAAAAAGCTATACTATTTTTTCATAGAATGTAAAAGTGTCACGTGAATATTGCTTCTTAGCGTAAGTTAAAATGGCGGCTAGTTCTTCCTTCGAATCTGCTATTCAAGAAGACTCTTCGGGTAGTTATCAATAATATCTAGGCCTATTGATTTCTTCATATCCGCATTATTTTATTTTTGAAGAATGCAGACAATTGGTGCATAATGTATCACACGGCCGCCTTATTGGTTACCACGACCCGTGGACTTTTATAATTCACTCAACTCAAACTCAAATCACTGTACTGTACTGTCACCCTAACAATAAAACGCACTAAAATAAGGGATTACCCACCCTAACAACGGTCTAACCTGAACCCTAAATTATGTATCGCGAATATTTACTTCAAGTCAGTACTTCACTGACTTCACATTTCTGATTTCTGACACACTGAGAGTGAGACCGGATTTAACTCCTCTACATCGACACTACAGACTACACGCAATACTACATCTTTGACTTACTTTTGACTTTGACTTACACTACTGCTGCTGAGACTGAGACCTTTCATATTCTCTACTCACTCCATTTAGTTTTATTTTAATTATATATACTGTTAATACTGTATAATCAATTACATAATTTATAATACCAATACTATCATCAGTTTCATTGCCAGGTAGGTAGTTCGGTAAGATCCGGGAAGTGCCGTAAACCGGGTATCGTGATTTCGTTGTCAAAATGGCGACCTCCACTTTTTAATTTACAGAGAGTCACGTTGTTTACGACTTTTTAACTATACATAGCCCAGTATGTTAATTCTATTTCCGCCCATAACTTAGAGTAGACATGTTGTGTTATGATTAGACACTTGAGTCCCCCAAAAAATTTTGGGGCTTCACTTTGAAAATTGAAGGTAAAATAATGCAATTTTTACTCATTCATATTTTTTTTGTGGAAAGGATTCTTTCTTTGAACTTCAGGGACTTTATAAATAATGGCATTAACTACAACATATCCAAGACATGCTAAGTTAGACCCAGCCAGTTGGTCAAAAATTCATCAAGAAATTTTAATCACGTGTGTCCCAAAATTACCTATTATCGTTAATATTTGTTGCTATGTTAAATAACCTGATTTACTCTGGAAATCCAGCCTATTACCCCCTAATAACTCATTCAAAAACAAAAACAAATAATTTAATAACACAGATACCTATCTTAACAACATAAATATATATTTTTAACTTGTTTTGATGCTTTTATTGAAGGGTATTGACTTGGGTAGTGGGTTAAACTGAATTATTATTAGCCTCATTTTTATTATAATTAATATATTAAATATGAAAGTTTAATATATATATAAAGTATAGTATTTTAAGTATAGGCCTAGCTCCTGCCCAACTCATTATTTGTGTGACACATTATTTGTTATTTGTAATGATATTTTAATGAATATTATGATTCTTAATGCATAGATTAAGAAAAAATATAAACAGAAAAATAGTCACTTACCGTTCATATTGAAATATCCTATATTTAATCACATATCACAATATTTCACAAGAGAATTATTACATAATCCTTGTATTCTCAAAGAAAAAACACACTTTCTGCCACAATAGTCCAAGAATTACTTAAGATATTATTAATAATATTAAAGAACAATCATAAAAACTTATACTTACCACAAGCAAATGACTAGAACTTATTTTAGTTTGTATAAACCACCAAAGTTGATTCTATCAATGCATCTTAATTTGTGAAACAAGATTACTAACTTGTAAAAAAATGACATACTATTTTTTTTTCATATTCAGACATTCATATGATATGGGACTAAAATACATATATAGAAAATGGTAAAATAAAAAGTGTAATCGTAAATTTTAACTAAATGAAACAAGTAATCCCTTTATTATTAGTTTATACTTATAAATGTTAAACAATTCCACAGAAAATTTGAAATTTATATCTAAAGAATATTATTATTATTATGATTCTTGGGAAATTAAAAAAAAATATTTAAACAAAATTAATTAATTAATTTCAAATAAGTGATGAGTCAGCATATTTATACATGTTTTAAAAGGAAAAAATCCAGATTTTAAAAAAAAAAATTTGCGGAATATTAACAAAAACTAACTTATATTTTGTGTCTTTATTTAGAAGTACTCTTATTTAACTATGTTCCCTGTAAATATTATATTTTTGTCTAATTTTACAATAAAGTTATAAGCATTCAAAAAAAAGCAAATTGAGGGTCACGAAATGTGGAGGAAAATCCCATAGTAAAAAAGTGCCTTTGAGGTCCGTACTAAAAAATTCATAATGTTTGAACCACTTGAGCTAGAAAGTTGATCTTGGTGTTTTTGTAATCTATTCTCCAGGTTCTATACAGCTGTAGTATTTTTATATTTTTAAAAATGTTTTGAAATTTTAATCAAAGTGCCTACATTGCCATCATGCTGGTTATAATTCTAAAATTCATAAAATAAATGATAAAAAATATTAACGATAACCCCTTTGAGAGTGAGCCTTTTTGGAGTGTCAGTGCCAAGCAGATGGAGCCCTTTAATTTTTTACAAGCTCGGCACTAGGGATCGCAATAGCGGTCCCTTTTACCAAAACCAGTATTTTCTATATTGAAGTTTACGAATACAGGAATCCAGATATTTCATTGACGATTTATCATTGAAATAAAAACATTCAGACAAAAATCATATTTTGATTTTTAATAAGCTTTTAAGAATAACACAAATACTTAACTTCAGACTTATATCAACGAAAATATTTTTAACTTTTTTAAAATAAAATTATTTAAATATCAAATATTAAAATAATTTGTGTTGCTTTAATCTTTGGTCAAATTTAAATACAGGTAATAAGAAGATAGTAAAAATGACAAAGTGTCTAATGTTTGGTCGCTTAATTTTGAAAGCAAATGGTTACAAAAGTAACCTGATGACGAGAGCGACCGCTGATACGTTGAACCTTAAAAATAGTCTGTTAATTTGCTTTATTTCTTTGAGTTTTATCTTTTGTGTCGGCAGAAGTTTAGAATAAGATGCTGTAGAAATCAATGCTCTTGGAGTATTGGTACCAGAAAATTTGTTATCTTTCAAGACAGTGGAATGTGCAGCGTTTAAATGAGTATGAAGGCCTGAAGTTGTGTCTCCTAATGTTTTACAAATCTTGTTACATCTATTGCATTTAGCTGAGAGATTGACCATAGTTTTCAAGAAATAATACCAAACTGATGTATATGTTTCCGAGTTTCATAAGCTTTTCATATTTAGGTTTATTTTTTCAGGGTCCCCCATTTTTTGCTATCAACCTAAAGGGAAAATAAATGATTAAAAAAAATTTTTTTATTAATTGAATTGGTTTGATGTGTACAACTTTTAAAAAAAAATGTTTAAATTTTCATGTAAATGTTTGCCTATGTACGGTACAGACAAACTGGGGGCATTTAGCCAGGGACAAAATAGCTCGAAAATCAATTGTGAGGTGAATGGGAATTATTAATATTGTTATTACGAAATAGAAGTAACATAATTTTTCTATGTCTTAAACTTAAGGTGTTTGATTATTAAAATACAGATTTACTCATAGTTTTAAATATGTAGGTTTTTTTGGCATAATTAAAGGAAATCAAGTAATCAAACATTTTTATTATTAAAAGTTTACCCTGTGATTCGAGTCGTGTCATTATTTCCATATATTTCATGATACAAAAAAACTGTTAATGTAAGTCAACATTCTATCTCCATTTGACTATACAAATCACTTATTTGTCAATAATATGAAAAGATTTACTTACCAATCCTGTACCTTCATGTCTCGACTCCCGTCTCCACTTAAACACTACACACGCACAATGTAAAAACAAAACTAATCACAATGCCATGATTCTTGACAAATGAACAGTAAACAGATCTAGTACATCGGTCGGCTCTCTTTGAACTTGAGACATGTTTTGTGAGGGGTTCGCACATCACATATATTATTGATATGTCTTGCTTTAACCATGACATAAAAACTAAAAGAGCGAAAAATAGTTTTTGAAAATGAAATCCCGGAAATTTCAAAAATCCCGGTTTTCATAAATCTAATCCCGTTTTTCTTCGAGCATCAGTTATGGTCCAGTATTCCAGTATTTTTGAAAGTTGGGATCCCGGATTGCAACCCCTACTCAGCACTGATATTGCAAAAAAAATTTTTAATAAATAAATAATCTAATTACTTTACAAATATAAAACTATATAATTTATATATTCTTGTAGGCATTGAGTGAACTAATACAATCTTTATGAATCAAACTGAAATCTCAACATTTATGCAAATGTGATATCCTAATTTGCATAATGTATGCATGTACTTTTTTTAACTTTTACACTTACAATAAATACGTCTTGCACTGGCAGAATTTTGTTAGATTTTATGATCGTTGAAGCCTAAATAATTCCTAACCCATATTTGAATGAGATGCAGTGTGGAAAAACTACTTAAAATATTCCCCTGGGGCTGCTTATGTCTTTTGACATATTTCAAGGTCACATTTTTTTAAAGCATTTTTAGGGGGCTCACCAGGTACCCCAAAAAAATGATATAAAATAACAGAACACTGTAAAATATCAATGGAAGTTGCCATTAAAATGGTGAGATGATTAAGACATGCAAGAAACAATCTGATTAACTGATACAAAACCAGCCAGCCAATCTCGAGGCTTTAATATATTGATGGGCAGATAGATCAGCCTTTCGTCTTTTTCTCCTTTCAAACCTGAGCCGATAGATCGGCCAAGCCATCCCAAGAGAGTTAATACCTATGTCATGTTAGGGTTAGACCTACATATACGGTTACACATATTGAAATTGCTCATTACTTACAAGTTATTTACTATCTATTATCATAGTATTACTAATGAATGATTTATAATCAAAAAAATAAAATCTAAATAAACTAAGTGACTCATATCATTGCTCTGAGTACTGCTCAGCCTCTTATTGCTTAAGTTAACTCATTTGTTATTGTCATTTTTCTGATTACTAAAAGTTCTAAGGTGAGGCTGAGTGCAGCATAGCTAAGTGAGTTAAGCATTACTTACTTATGCAGGAGGACAGTTATGACATAAGGCTTGAGCTACGGTACAGATTTTAATATGCTATAATATGACTATAAATCTATTAAGTATAGCGTAGGCTATATGCTTTTCTTTGTGTCGGTCCAAAGGGAGAGTGCAGGCAGTCATCAATTTTTAAAATGTCACTTAAATAAATGAAAAAAGGTAATGGATTTTAATTTGTAGCAAACTGTTGCTAAATTTGCACTTACCCTAAAGCAGGCCTGCACAACTCAAAATGTAAGGCCGGCGGTAATACTTTATGAAAAACTTGTGCGGGCCATAGTACTTTATGAAAAGCTTGCGCGGACCGAAAGATGATAGGACAGGGGGGAAAGCTATTAAGAAAATAATAACAATAAAGATTATTTCCTTACTTCGCGGGCCGCCAAGTGGGTGCTGGCAGGCCACATGCAGCCCACGGGCCGTATTTTGTGAAGGCCTGTCCTAAAGGATTGACTACCCCTGCATTAGTTTATTATTTTTAAAAAAACCTTGATATTATACACCTTAAAAGCTGCAGAATAGAGGCAAGTGAGCCTGATGCCTCTAGTAATAGGATATAATTAAAAAAAAACTTTTAAATTTTAAATGATTCTTGCTGAACAAAGGGCCCAACAATTGTTTTGAAATTCTGAGCCCATTTGTTAGCCCTAACTCTTTCTAAGTCAGACCATTTGCAAACATAAGTTACATCTAGCTTCACATATGAACTGAAGTCCCTTTGTGAAGAAACAAAAAAATAATGTACTAACGGTACACCTTTTTTAAAAAAATGATTCAATTATACCGCTGAAAAAATTTTCATATATTGGTAACACTTTTTTGATGTTACCTCCAAACTTTTATGAAGATAGTTCATTAAATTTATTATGTCATTTATGCAGATGTCAATGTTTGGTTAAAAGAGGCTCACGATGGTTCAGAGAAACATCAACTCCTTATTGGCCTACATTATCTCAAGCTTGCTGAGTTAGGTGTTAACAAAGAAGAGAATGCTAATAATGCTGTTACTTGGCTTATTGCGGCTTCAAAGCAGGGAAATTCCGAAGCTAATGAAAAATTAAAGCATTGTGTGGAAACCAATCTTGGTATGGTAAAATGTTTCTTTTTAATTGCATTTATATATGCACACTCTTTTTATTTAAATTATGGATCTAAATGCCTACTTAATTACCATGTTCAAATATTTGTAACATTTTTACATGTGTTAAAATTAAGATAAATGTTTGAAAACTTACAATTTTATAATCACTTTCTAAGATTTTAAAAAAGTAAGTAAGGTACCATCCATAAATCATGTCATGCTATTTTAGCAGATTTTTTACACACACTCCCCCATTGTCACAAACATTAGACAGCCCTGTCACAATTTGGCGCGCATCTCCCATAAGTGATGTCCTTTATGGACGGCCCCTATTTGGAAAATATTTTTTTTTAGTTGTTTGAAATCCATTAAAAAAATTAATAACATTATTAAAATCTATTGATATAAAATACAATTATTTAACCTTTATACAGGCTTAAATGAGAAAAATAAAAATGATGTCACTTGGTGTCTTACTACATCTGTGTCCGAAAAGAAAATTCGCTTTGCTGCTAGATCACTTTTCTTAAAGTTGAGTAATGCTCATAAGAAGGCATTATCAGAACAAGAGTATATTGAAGCAATCAATAACCTCAGTTCCATTAGTGAAAGAGAGAAAAAACTTTTACTAGCAGCAGGTTAGTTTGTTGCATAATTTACAAAGATTTGAAATTGTTAATAAGCTAAGTAAATTCTTTTCTTTAAAATATTAACAGTATGTTAAAAGAATTTGTTGAAACGGCTCTTTAAGTAAATGATCAATGTTTCACTTCAATTTGAATTCTACAAATTTAAGAAATACATTAAATTAATAGTAATAGCTCTCATGTTTTAAAATTGAAATCTTGACGTTCTTGAGCTTAAAAAGTTTTTCTTATTACATAAATAATATAGTTTCAAAATTCTTTTCTTATTTTTACTTTATTTTTGCAGGCAAAAAAATTGGTTCAACAATAGGAGAAAATGATTTTGTTAAAACGGTTTCCAAAAAAATTCAGGGTACTTTGACATGGACTACAGATGAAATTGGGGAAACATCTGCAGCATATGACTCTGCTGGGATAGTTAAAAAGGCAATTTTATAATATTCATAAATTAGTTTTTTAGTTTTCTTAAAGATTAAGAAAGGAAGCATTATTTAAGTAATTCAAATATTATATTATTAATCTTAACAAAGTTTGCCTCATGGAAGTGACAAAAGAGAATGAAAAAAAAAAAAAAATTCGTCCATTTGCCATTACATGCAATGTGCCCTTTAAGCTGCGCGGCCGCGCAGCAATCTCACAGATGCCGCGCAGCAGTTTTGAGTAGCTAATTTCCACTTAAGCGTGTGTTTGTGTCTGTAGGTTAGGTTGTAAAATTTTGCACACAAAAAAATTGATGCTTTAAAAATTTGAACACAACTTTAAGATTTTTGCACACGAACCAACAAATCTTAGAGGGAACATTGATTACATGTTTAATTATGATTTTTTAATTGTAATACTCGCAAGCAGGCCTGCACAACATATGGCCCGCGTGCCGCATCGCGAGCACCCACTGTGTGGCCCGCGAATACTTTGGTGAAAAATCATAATATAAATTAATATTAATATTCCCTAGCTTATTGATTCATAATATTACGAGAGTTATATATAAGCAGTATAATACTATAAATACTTATTTCACTTTTAAATAATCAATTTTTAAAATATTTAATATTCCCCACATATAATTGAAATGAACGTTTTGTTTTATTAAATCAAATTAAATTAGATCTACTAATTTTTTATCGTTGTGTAATATTTCACTAGTTTTCTTTCCTCGTAACGATATTTAATTACACATGCAGGCTTTTCCAGAGCAGTTACTCTTTCTCGAGGGAAATTAATATCAGTTTCCTGCGCTTGTGTATTCTCAATCAACCTAACCAACTGTTAGTGTAACTGTGTCCAAAACCAGTGACTTCTGTGCAGAGTAGCCTTTTACTATTCTTGTAATATTGTGTAGAATTGTGTTGTGTTGAACTCACGTATCGCCTTATTTTGATATTCTGTGCATTTAGTTCGGTAATATACTTTTAGAGGTGTACTTGAAATATTTAAGCGCAATGAATCAAAGCAGAAAGAGAAAACTAGAGATAGAGCACAGAATTTGTAATCCTGAATGGACAAATAAATAATTATTTACAGTGTTCAAGGACAAAATAATGTTCCTCGTATGTCGTGACACATTTGCTGCGCCGAAAGAGTATAATCTTCAACGGCATTTTGAATCTAAACATCCTAATTTGTCAAAATTAGACCAAAATGAAAAAATCAATTAAAGCAACGAATCTATCAAAAACTCTTACTGGAGAGCAAACTTTTTCAAGAAAGAGAGCAGTGAAAATGAGACTGCTACCAAGATAAGCTTTTGTATTTCAAGGGAAATAGTTACTGCTGGGAAATCATTTACTGAAGGCGAATTTGTAAAAAAGTGAATGCTGATTGCCACGTCTGAATTATGTCCGGAAAAAACGTTGTTATTTCAAAACATCAGTTTATTGCGAATGACAGTGCAAAGGAGAATTACAGATATTTCCACCAATCTTCAAGAACAATTAATGCAGAAAGCTTGTGAAAATCTTTTTATCTTCTTGCTATGGACGGAAGCAAAGATTTAAAAGACACCACCCGAATTCTCATTTTCATTAGAGGTGTTGACAAAACTGTGAAATTACCGTAGAAATCGCTGGAATGTGCTCCATGTCAGCTCGCACAACCGGAAAAGATATCTTCAATGAAGTGATAAAGTGCTTGAAAGATAAGTTAAGATTTTATCAAATTAGTGGCCATTTGTACTGATGGTTCCCGGAATATGACGAGCAGTAATAAAGGAGCAGTTGCGTCTCTTGAAAATTTTATTCGAAGGCAAATAACAAAATATCATTGCATTGCACATGTGCAGGCCTTTTGTAGCCAAGTGTTACATTTAGAACATGTTATGTCGGTTGTTTTCAAAATAGTAAACCATATCCATGAAGAAGTGAGATGGTAAAGCCGAGGGAAAGTGCTTCAACTTCAACAATTTGTTGCTTTGAAGAAGGAAACATCTAAATTCCTAGAAGACGAAGCAAAGGAATTCCCTGAGCTTGAAGACGAATCCTGGAATCTTGACCTCTCTTCTTTTGTGATATTACAACACATCTAAATGTCCTTAATGTTCAACTTCAAGGTAATCAACAACTTGTATTTGAAATGTTTGCAGCAGTAAAAGCTTTTAAACTGAAAATGAAAATTTTCAAAACCCAGTTTCTAAAAGGTGAAATGCGTCACTTCTACACGTGTGCACAGCACATTCCTCAGGACAAGCACGTCGAGTTGGGAAGACAATTTGGTAATAAAATTAATCTTTTGATAGAAGAATTCGATAAAAGACTCACTCTTTCTAAAGAAGAAGAAATTCAGTTTAAACCAATTGAAGATCCATATTCTGTGAATCCTGAGGACTTACCAGTTCAATTGCAGCTGGAGCTTATCAAACTACAATGTTACCGAAGCAAGCAAAGAGAGAGCAGCCTGCAGGAGTTTTATAATAATCTGGAACATGAGAACTACAAAAATCTTTACGAAGTTGCACTAAAAACTTTTAGTGTGTTTGGAACCACTTAACTATGTGAACAGACATTTTCAATAATGAACATTAATAAATGCAAGCCACGCTCATGTTTGACTGATGATCATTTGCAAGACATCTTGAGAACAGCCACTTCAAATATATCTCCTAAATACGACAACAAACTTGTTAGCCAAAAAGATTCAATGTTTCACATTAAATTTACTTTGTAAGTAATCAAATATTCTTTATTATTGTTATTATTTTCTTAATAGCTCCTCCTCCTCCCCCCCCCGTCCTATTTTCTTTTGGCCTGCACAAGTTTTTCATGAAGTATTATGGCCCGCCTTACATTTTGAGTTGTGCAGGCCTGCTCTAGAGCATCTATTATTGTATTTTAAAATATTCTACAAATTTATGTTACAACTTTTAACTGATCCTTATTTAATACATTTTACAGGTCTTTGTGTACCCTCGACAGACTGCTTCCATTGTATTTGACAGAGGACTGGAATATGCTAGCAAAGAAGGGCTTAGCCTGATTCTGTCTCTTATCCCTACCAACCAAATATATCTTCTGGCTATGATACTAATTTATAGCTATCTCACCCCAGGGTTCTTCCTTCTATTTTTACCCCTCTTGGCATTTTACATCTCTTTGTTTGTCATGGTTGTGGCAACACTTCAGGTAATGTTTGTGTATTCATTGAGTTCTTATTTATATATCTTATATGCTTTCTTGAAGTTTGTTCATTGCTGATGCATGTCAAAATCTTTGAGAAAGATATTTCAGCATAATAGTATCAATAATTCATCATACTGAAATTGAAAGTTCTGACATGGCAAAATAGCTCCATGTCCATTTTTCCTAGCCAACTAATGATGTTACTTTTTTAAATAGCTTTTATCATGCACTAACCTATTGTGCATCACCTGGTACTGGTATCTCTTCTAACTTTAAAATCGAGGATGTGTTTTCTTGCACAAGTTGCATGGTTTACAATGTCCTTTGAAAAAGGTGTGGAAAGTTTACTTACATAGGAAGACCAAGCTGTCATCTTGGTTCAGAGAACACATACAATATTTTAAAGAAAACAAGAATTCTATCTAGTTTCAAAATATTTCATCAATGGTTGTAACCTCAATGGTATATCCAATACTGAAGTAAACTATAAACTGTATACTGAGAGAATTCCACATTAGGAAAAATACTATTAAATTAAAGAGCAGCAATACTTGCCATTCAGACTCTGCAATCATTTGAATTTTTTTAGGTGTGAATCTCTATAATTTTAAAATAAATTTAGTGCGGTAATTCTCAATTTAATCTTTTTACTTCACTTCATATTATTCCACAGATGTTTTATAAGAAACGGAAGCAAAAAGAATCTACTACATTAGTCTCCATGCTTCAGGAACAATTTCAAGTTGATATAGATGTTGAAAGCACAGAATCACAGTATTTGTGGAATTCGCTGACTCCCTATTTGGTTTACTTTGTTGCACTACCAATAATGGTTGCAAGTTTCTCTTTGGCAAACAAGAACTACATCCCAGGTGGAGAACTATTTGTTGTCAGTCTGATAATGACTGGGTTTTGTTTTTTGGGGCTGTCAGATAGTTATGACATTCATACCCTGTTGGCCCTGAGCGCTCACGCCTTTGCATCACTTCCTGTTTTTATAAAAAATATTCCCAAAATTCCAATTATTTCTAGCTTTGTTGGTCTGATAACAAATCCCTACTTATCATTAGAATTAGGTCTGGGTGTGTCTTTTAATCTGAGTCTGCCATCCATAGTTCATATGCTGATACCTCTGCTGTTGTTACGAATGGCTATGAAAGGGTCATGGTCTGGAGCATACCGGATCCTAATTCCACATTTGGTGTGTTATTTCTGGTTCAGTGTTTCAATCACAATGTTTCCCTTCACCACCTGGAGGAGTTTAGCTAGAGCAACATTTGGCTACATAATGCTTCCAGCAGCAATCCCAATTAGTTTCTTACTAGCCATACTTGGATTCTTTTATTTCATTTACAAACTGCTGCAGACGCAAATGATCGGAAAGCTTTTAATCACTGCAATGCTGTTTGCAGTACCTGTGGTGTTAACACAAACCAAGTCATTATTTGGCAAAAAGGATAAAAATACATCGGCAAAATCAAAGAGGGTACAGAAAATTCTCATGATTAGTTTTGCAGTGCTTGGTGTCCTGCCACTGCTATTTGTACGCATTCCAACTCTGTCCAAGGCAAAACACTTTGAACTGAGCTGGGAAAGTTACAGAGCCATATGTATACCTGCTGAGAATGACATCTGGGCTCCTTATCAAATACGATGTCGTGACTTTATTGGAACAAAAGTAAATTGGAAAGGAGCAGTAAAGCAAGTTAAAATTACCAAAAGTGAAAATACTGCTGAGAGTGTGATAAAATCTTTACCCACCATTTTATCTGACCCACTTTACTGCATTTATGGTGACAGGATATCTGATTGTAATGAGGCTTCAATGCCTACAACAGCATTCAAGCACTGCCAGATTGTAAAAGAAATGAAGCAAACTTGTCATTTAAGAAGCCATGACCAGTTTACTTTCTCTCTGAGCATGCAAGTTGAGGATGTTCAGGTAGACTTGGAAGCTGGGCCTAATTTCAAAGGACAGCTTATGGCCTTGAAGCCAAATGATGAACTGGAGTTTTCTGGTAGCCTTGTTGATGTAGGAACCCCAATTCCAAATCTCAGGTTAAGATCTCTTAATTGTACTAGCAGAGAGCTGCCCATCATGATGGATTTGTCAGAAGATGTTGATGAGGATACAGTTTATAAGATGCTCAACGAAGCCTTTGCTCTTACTTTCAACTTTGGTCTTTTCCCTGTGTTTATTTACTCACCACACTAAAGAATCAAAACTTGCATTTTATCACTAAGGAATCAAATTTTTTGTCTCAGGTTACTTCTTTGCACTTTTCATAGTTATTTAAGAGCCAAGCTAGCTGTTGGTGCTTGGGCTGTCAGAAGCATAACTCATCTGCTAGGTGCTGCCATAAATCATCTCCATAATTTTGGTTTCCCCTTCCCCTCCCAGCTCCAGTGCAGAACACATTTCATCAACAGGTGACAATCTTCAGTGTGTGTCACGGTAGTGGTGGGTGGGGTCTTTATGAGGGTTTTAGTCTGTGACTTGTGACTAATAGAATTTAAAATTGGGGACATTTTTTAAATGTATGTACATATATATAAATACACTGTAATTTTAATGTTATTTGATATTTCATTTAATCAGTGCGGTATCCTAAGATCTCTTTAACATTTTTGGCCTTGAATTGTGATTCAAATGGTTTTTTGACATGTAGAATATAATTTTTGTATTATCTGTAGTTTATGATGTACCGGTACTCATACTGACACAGTTGCATAGTTTTAAATAAATTGCTTCCAAGCCCTATGCCCTGTAAACCAATAGAGGCTTCTTTAAAATATGTAAAAATCTGTGATATTTCTATTGTTGAAAATAGCCTTTCCGTTATATTTTATCATAGTTACTAATAGTATTTTTATTGCTTACAATTGGTGATATAAATTTACATTAACTATAAAAGGATTTGTTTCTCACAATGACCCTGGCTGTTAAAAATGGTAATCATTGCACAGCAAATTAAATTGTCTTCTTTTTTGTTACTCTTCTTTACTAATCTACTAAGTTAGTTAAAACATTTTTTTTTAAAATTTAAATTCTTAAAATCTAAAATGATTGCTTTTAGGTTTTAGTAATTCTGTTTGTTTTAAAGTTACATTTTTAAAAGCTGGCATTTTCTTAGTCTGTGGTTCAACAACTATTTTTTTTAAAGGGAACACAGATGCAACACAATGCCTGTCTTGCTCTTCAAATTTTCAGTTCAATTAATTTACATTTATGATCCTGACCCAAATCAATATTTGCCAAGTATAATTTAAAAACTTTTATTAAACTATACTTGTTTTATGCTTCAACTTCATTGGATACAATTTTTAACAAACTTTTCTTTCCTAAAACAAATGTGAAATTTTATGTATCTCCTAGACACTTGATAAGTGAATCTGTAAAGTTTTCAAGGAGATGTACATCACTTTTATAAGTAAAAGCTTTACAAAAGTTTTCTTTGCAACCAGTGAAGTATCCCTTAAAACCATGCACATTATCATCGCAATGCCTTCTGAAACATAGGAGCCAGAATGATCAATTCATTGATGGTGGGCCCTCAAAATATAGAAGAGAAGAAGAAGAAGAGCTTGTCATAAATATGGCTAAGTGGCAGTGCTTCCATTCCACTACAAAAAGAATTAAATGGGACTGGAAGACAATTATAATTGTAGACAAGTGAAGTCAAGCATTAGGATGACACTATTCAAGAGGTTATTTAGATAAATATTTTCAAAGTTAGTGATAACAAGTGTGACCATAAATATGATAATCTAAACGCTGTAACTGAAGCAACATCAATGTACACAATCACCTTAAATACTCATTTCAATGGATTGTTTCCTCTGTCTTTATAGAGAATAAACTATGGTCTATTTTAATCATCTCAAGTTCAGAGACTTCTGTTGGTTACGGGGTATTTATTATTTACTTTTCTTCTATGTTCAGAACCAAATGTTTTCATTAAACACATGCGTTCAAATAAAAATGCACTATCAATGTGAGTTATTTTATGTTCTACCAAAATATGGACATTTTAACTTTAAACCGTTTTGATTAAAAACACTTATTTATTGTAAATCTTTTATATTACATTCGCTTTTGTTCGTGGCTGGCTAGCTGGGTGGCAGACTGGCAAATTCTTTCGACAGCTAATTGACCAACTTCCTGTCAACCTACCCAGGTGAAATTTGGCACATAGACCCCCCACTGCTTGATATAACATTTTATGAAGGATTCATACAGGTTGTTTAATTAAAAATTAAAACATAAGATGATATTTACTGTTCAGTAAAAGTATAGTCCGTGAATAGCTTTAAAAAAACTTTAATTTATGCTTCAGTTCAACATCCACAAAAATTATCCTTTCAAAATTTGTAACCATACTTCAATATAATGTGAAAATAATTTTGTGAATAAGGTTGTGTCAACTCTTTTTGAGCTAAGTAAAATTTTGAATGCATTAGTGAATTTTTTTAAAAAGTAAGATTTATATCTTAAATGTTTTTAGTTTTCAAGCTAAAACCAGTCCACTAAGAGTACAAGAAAAGAAATTCACAAATTCAGCATTAAAGAAAATATAACTATAACATACCAGTAATAAATTAAATAATACTTTTTAGCAATAGGAAATTAAATAACTTTCAGAAGAAGAAACAGAAAATAATATAAGTCAAGAATGTTTTTCAGAAAGGGCAGATTATCGTTCTTGCTTTAAAACAGTGGTTTTAATTATTATTTTAAAATACTTTTATTTAAAAAAAATATGAGTAAATGGGAGAGTTTATGCAAAATATGCTTCCTGTAAGTTTCTTAATGACAGTATAATATATCATGTATAAGTCGAGAAATTTTAGTCGTAAACTTCATTTTAAAACGCAGAGTCGGCTTATCAACCGGGTCAGTGCTAGTTTCAATAGAATTTTGTACATTGAATGTGGGGCAGTGTGAGTTACCGTTAGTCATAGTGTACTACCCGGTAGATATATGTTGACCCAGATACCGGGTACACACACATGGAGATTTCAGATATAAGCATCTGGTGTGATACATTAGGAGTCACTATACACCAGCTATAGTAAACAGTGCAGCAATTACTGCTAGGTAAAATCTGCCATATTTATAAAAATCACAGAATTTCAAAACCAAAGCTTTACCCTCAACTGATCCTTGAGTCACACCATATTTCAAAATCGACTTATAGATGAGTGTATACAGTGTGCACTGCAAAACTTACAATTTAGAGATGCCAACAAGTAGGTAACAAGCTAAGATCAACCTTATCACTTAAAAACCAACATTATATTAATCATCCATTAAGCTTTTAAATAAACCTCATCTAATCAAACATAAAATTACTAAGTGTTTAGAAACTTCAACTTTGTATAATAAGACATTATACTTAGCTAAACAGAAAATCAAGGAATACTAAGTTAATTACCTTAACCAAAGCTGAAGTATATGTACATATGAGAAAAGTGTTTGTAAAAGACAGAAAGTTTTTATTTCAGTACAAGTAGAGATCCACTGGAGAAATACCTCCTCCAGCCTTATTTACAGAAGACACACTTTTATTGTAAAGTTTATACATAAGCACTGCAGCTTGCATTATCTTAAATGTATAACTTAAATTATGAGCCATTCTGAAATTTGGATACCATGCATTTCATACACTTTCCCAACACTTCTCTAAACCTTCAACATGTCCCCATACAAAATGAAATTTACAAATGTTTGTTTTTAAAATAAAACACACAATAAAATATGTTTTTTTTCACAAAGCTGATTAAAACTTATTAAAAGTAAACGTGAATGATTAGGAAAAGTGATTGAAACTTTATGAAGCATTATGATATGTGTATTTATAAACAGTGCTCCTCGTGTTGGACAGTTTCCAATTTCATGGTTAGATCCTTTTGACTAAGTCTGAATACACTATAACTATAATGTGAACATTTGATTTTTTTTATATTACCTAAATTAAATTTAAATTAATTTTATTTACTAAACAAATATTATATTTTTCTAAAAAGAGAAATAGTGTAATCAAAATAGTATAAGTACAAATAAGGGTAAGTATTTTTGCTGTACAAAGGAACACTGTAAATGCTGATATTCTTATTTATGAAATATTGTGAAATTTTATAGGATTTTAAAAAAATAATAATAATAATCATAGCGCAACACTGCAAACATAAAAAGTATAATTGTTTCTTAATGCTAAATTTCAACAATATGATGTAGAAAGAGAATGCGGCAGAAATAATAATGTTAGTGACTTTTTTAAAGCAGTATGACATTGACACAACATTTAACATTAAGACTCGTCATAATCCGTACAACTTGGACAGAGCATCAGAGTCAGTAATGTAATAAATTTATCCTTTAATAGTATAAAGGCAGTTATCAAATGTTTCTCACCCTCAAAAGTTCAAAACATGATTGAACCAACATATTTATTCTTGTAGAAAATGTGATTAGGAGTTTATTAGGAGATGCCTATGCTCAAACAAAACAATAATATTCAAATGTGAATTTCTTTAAGTACAGGTATCCTTCCCAGGAATACATGCTTGACGAATGCACTACTGAAACATGGAATTCATTTATTAACTGAAAACGTCAGGCTTTTTTTTTGTTGTTGTTGAAAATCATAAGTAATAATATGGTTCAAAAAATACTTTTCAGTAAAATGGTAATAAAATACTAAAAAAAAAGAACAAAAAGAAAAACAGAAACATTACATTAGTAAAATAGAACAGAGTGAAAATTATGAAAATTTGTATACATCTCACCATTACATGTACTGTAATAATTCAGCACAGCATGTTGATTATTTTTGAGAAACAAATGTTTAAAATATTTAAAATAATTTAGTAAAAGAGAAGAGACTAATTCTTCTGAACAAATATAGTAGAATGACTTTAAAACCTGTTTTTTTACTGAGTGCAACAAGCTGCATTTTTAATACGTTTTTTTAATATTAAAAAGTTATGTTTTTTCTAAATTGTAATCTTACACGTAATCACCGATTTATAAAAATAAGTGTCTTATAAGTAAGCCTTTACAATAATAAAAAATATTTTGTCTCTCTTATCAATGCAGCTAATTATCCAAGAGAGTTTATATTTATATAGCTGATACAAATTATGATCTTAAATAACTTAAATTATTGATTGTCCAGAGCATCATCTGATATATGCAATTACAGTTGGATTCATTAACATTACATTTGGTTACCAGTTAGGTTTAATATTTTAAAATTTAATAAACTAAGTTTCTAATAGGTCTAAGAGTAAAAGGATTATTATAACTTAAGCATCAAAACTTAATTCATTTATTTATTCTAATAAATGGGTAACCTTTAGTTAACGCTTTAGCAAAAGAATACTAAGTTGATATCAATGACACCTGGTATTACGTATGTCTCAAGATTTGTTTATAATTTTTATAAAGGAATGAAAATTATTTTGAATATACATTGTTTAGTGTTATACATTACTATTATATATAATATTTTTTAAGGATTGTGCTAAATTAGATGTTATACAATAGTAAAAGATGATTTCATTTTAAAATTAAAATTATACCAATGTTAAAAACCGTACCATAAGAATATAATATTTTATTGTATGTAGCTTCAAAAAAAGTATGTTAATAACATTTAATCAACTCATACCAAAAGACTAAATTTTTTGTCTGTTATAAATATGTGATTTAAAACAATTATTGCAATAGCTAACTTTGAATAAAATGATTTACAGATGGAATGTAAACATTCACAGGATTCAAAATGATTGAATATAGGAAATTCAACTATCGGCACCATAGTTTGAACAATTCTACATGCATGTTTCATTACTGTGATACCTGCAGGAAAAATACATTTTAAAAACAGTAATTGAAATTAAATGTAAAAAATAATAAAGTACAATTTAAATCAATAACACTGTGAATATCATGTTTTCTTCTTCAAATTTTAGGTTTTATTATTCTATTTAATTTTCTTAATATTTTGTTATGACCTCAAGGTCATGGTATCAATTTTTAAAAAAACAACAATCTACTTCCATCTGCAAAACAACTAGAAATAATGTAAGTTAAATACAGAAGTATTTGTGATGGTTTTATTAATTTTTTTCAACAGGAATTTTTTTACAAAATTCAAATCATGTAAGTGATGGCACAGCCCTTTAGTATTTGTTAATACCGAAGAGTCTGACTTTATGAAATTGAGGTAACTTTGGAATCAAGTTGAGGGCCAAAACACCAGCATTGACAACAAAATGGTACTTGTCATAGCGGGAGTAGAAACTTGCCAAGAAAAACCTGCATGGATAAAAATATATATTTTAAAAATTCATTCATTATCAACTTGTGAGTTTAGAGGTATTTGGGGCATTTTTATGTTGTTGGTCAAAATTACATGAATGGAATGATTTATCTTTTTTAGTTTTTACTCATATTTAGAAGCTATGTACTTACAAAACAACAGGCACTGTTGTGAGAAACTTTTTAGTGGCTGTGAATTGTTTGCCATAATCAATCTGTTCCCACTGTGTTTCAGTACGAGATGTACCTTGGTCAGATGTCTCCCAGGGTGTGCCTTTTGTCACATGAAGCATCACAAACATACACTGTAAGGAAATCACATAAATATGGTTAACAAATAAATAGTTCATTGAATTTTTTGTAAGTATTTTTGTTCAAGATTACATTTTAGCATTTTGGGGGTGTAAAATTTATTAATAAGTTTATGACAAAAAGCAACATATTATTTATATGGTCACAAAAATCTGCAGTCTATAGTCTAAGCTTTATATTGGCTAAACAGTTGTAGACCACATTTTTTAACCACAGGATAGTTTGCTTTTGTATTCAATGTATTGATTTAGCTGAAATTTGAATTCAAATGGAAATGATCTGAGAAGTAAATAAATGTGTTTACTAGTAATCCAGGAATAGCAAGATGTGCCTGAAGCTAAGAATTGATGATTTGAAAAATATTACATCTCAAATGAGTTTAACAGACTTTGAATGAAAGCTCTAGTTATGTTTGTAAGTGAAATCTTATTACTCACCAGAAATCTACACTTTTTTTGTTGCTCATTTCGAATTGTGATTTTATATATTGTAAATGAGTTGCAATTGTAAATATGCTAAGCATATGATGCATGATTTACTTCTGATTTTGATTTTTTTTTTTTTTAATTCTCAAAATCTTCATTTTGACTAACCAACAGTCTGACAATGATGTATACTTTTTTTTCTATGGTAGGTTACTTTCAAGACCATACGCATCAACCGGTCAACAGTTTTCAAATCAAGGGTTTTTACCATGACCATTTAATTTAAAAAGTCTATTTGAAATTAAAATGCCAACAAAATCCATGCTAAAAAGATTTCACCTAAATGAAGAATTAAACGTGAAAAATGTGAGCTCTTTATGTCAATTAATGAATGAATGGGAGTGTTAACAAATGAATTAAAAATGAACCGAAGGTAAATGCTACAGACTTAATGTTCTAAGACTAATAAAAATGTGTATTTTTTTCATAAACAAAAATAAACCGCAAAAGAAAAATCTCTTAAACAAGACATTCACTTGCAATAAACCCTCAATACATATAGAAAGCTCACCACATCATGAAGAACGTTAGTTAGAGTCCAGGCAACTGCTACAGAAAAAAATGGAACAGACAGCAGCAACAGGTGTACACCAAACACCAAAAGTATGTATGTGAGCCATATTCCTTTGCTGTTGAAGTAGGAGTGTGTTGGGTTACTGTCACTGTGTGCAACACCTACATTCATTTTGACCTTTATCTGTTTGGTTAATATCTTCAATAAGCAAATAATACCTGTTTAAAAGAAATTAGAAGGTTTAATTAGCATAATCTATTGTTGATATATTTATTTTCTTATTGCCCTAACAGGAGAGGTGAAGTGAGCTAGAACAAAGGAAAGTTATTGTGTTATTATATCTTTCCTATTGTGCATGCCCTTGAAAATAATTTGGTTGTTAAAATAATAGAGGAAAGTGACATAACAAGGAGGGGTACATTTTTTTAATATAACAGTATTTGAGAGAAAGTCTGGGGAAACACAAAAATATGTACTGTATATTATCATGCATAATGCTAGAAATTAAGTTGAAAAACTGCTACTTAAAAATAAGGGTTCATGAAGGGTTTCAAAATGTTTTCATCACCAGTTAATGATATATACTAATGCCTATGCAACCAAATCTTTTTATCCCCCTTGCTTTTGACATCGGAGTATGCATAAAATCTTTTATTAAACCTTAATTAAATGTCCTAAAATGTTAAAAGGACTAAATAGGAATCATAAATTTGGTAGTCAACATTAAAAAAAAACTTTGCATTTTTTCAAATGATTCAGAGAAGCATGCAACTTTTATAATAAAGATGGGATGACTAACAATAAATGCCATGATTAGATAAGAGTAAAAAAAATGTTAATGAGCTTTTCTCATAGTTGTGGTGACTAGTGATTTAGTTAATTTTGGCCTTGTAGTGACAAATTTATAGGTACAGGAAAACTAGATAGCTGATAAGTTCAGAATAAGCACAAATGAACATTATTAACCAAGCCCAAGGGTAAAAATCTGAATAATACATGTTTATTTTATAGGGTCAACTTAAGTCAGACCAACCACAGATTATGATGTATGAATAGAGACATTGAAACATTAAAAAAAAAAAAGTGGCCTAAGATTGTATCAGTTCACTTCACTTCTAAAGGCATCCGTAATAGCAATGCCCCATGACCTTTTGATGAAGGTATTCAGAATATGTCCTCTTTGAAATTATTAAAACATTTTGTCCCTACAAATAGAGGAGTTATTTTTGGTTCATAGAGAGTTAAGAGTTTTGATTAGATGAACTCTAAAATATTTAATCAATGAAAATAGTTTTAGGTTTGTGGGTAATTAGGCACAGGACTAGATTAACATGCACCTAAATATCTAGATAAGAGAAGATAAGATAACATTGCAAATCCCATCTACATGCATAGGAGCCAAAATGATCAATAAATTGATCGTGGGCCCTTAAGATATAGAAGAAGAAGAAGAAGATTTTTTTATTGATCCAAATAAATGGAAATGTTTTTTGATTGCATTATACATTTTCAGCTCAAAAATAAAACAATTTGAACACAAGACACTTATAATAAATTATTTCAAACAGCCATTCAGTGAGTTCTCTTAGCAAAATCGGGGACTTATTAGTTGTCATTCAGATGTGTGACTTCAGAGGAAGCATGCCGGTAAATTTGTGCAAATTGGGGAACAAAAGAATTTTTATATCTGTCAGTCCTCGCCCTGATGGAAAGAATTCGTCCAGAACAGCCCGATCCTAAGTATCTGTGATGAAGAGGGTGGGATGTATCATCTAAAATGTGTTTAGTTTTGCAAAAACATTTTCTTCAAATATTTCTTCAAGTAAAGGATGTTTAGTTTGTGTTATGTTCCTAGCTTTCTTGATTAGTCGGTATATATATGCGGTGTTTAATATCAGACGTTGAATTCCCGCACCAGCAGGTAATATTGAAATCAAGCAGGCTTCCAATAGTTGCACTGTGGAATAAGTTAACGACTTGCTTGTTTACACCAAAATAGTACAGTTTTTTGAGGTAAAACAGTCTTTGGTTGAATTTCTAATACAGCATTTGGCCGTGCTCATGCCATGTTAGCTTATTATTAATGGTGATACCTAAGTTCTTGTATGCCTCCACTTTCTCCACATTTTAATTTTTTATGTTGATATCTGTAATCTGGTGTTTCCCCCTCCTGAAATCAACAACCATTTCTTTAGTTTTTGAGACATTCAACTGGAGAAAATTTTCATCGCACCAATTGATAAAGCTCGTAACCAAGTTGCGGTATAAGCCTTCTCCTTCAGATATTAAACCAACACTGGTGGTATCATCAGCAAATTTTAAGATTGGAACGGTGTCGCTTGAGCTTTGAATATCATTTGTATATATGGCATACAGTACATGAGAGAGAACGCAGCCTTGTGGTGCCCAGGTGCTTATTTCTCTGGTTAGAGATAATTGGTTATTTACTTTGACATATTGTGGTCGATTTGTTAAAAAATTCAGTAGCCAAGCCTGAATATTTAAATTGACACCTAATGAGGAAAGTTTCTTTATCATAAGGTGTGGTTGGATAGTGTTAAATGCTGATGAGAAGTCTAAGAAAAGCACTCTGGCATATGTTTTAGGACTTCTAGGTGATGGCAAAGTCTCTCCAACAATAGTAAGATTGCGTCCTCCATACTTCTGGCAGGCTTATAAGCAAATTGGTGGGGGTCAAGTTTTTGGTGTACTTCATTCAAAATTTCTTTCAGAATTATTTTCTCAAAACATTTCATGACAATAGAGGTAAGTGCAACAGGTCGTAAGTCGTTGTTGCACGTTACCTTATTTTTCTTTGGAATTGATATGATTTCTGAAGTTTTCCAAATTGCTGGTATTATGTGAGTTACATAATATTTATTAAATATGTAACAAAAAATGTAGGAGAGCTGCTCTGAACATAGTTTAATGAGCCGACCACTTAATTTATCTGGTCCCGAGGCTTTAGCTGCGTTCACTTGCTTAAATAATCTCTCATCATCACTCTCTGTTCGGTGAACAATAAAGTACCATCCTGTGTACTACTGCCATCTTGAAATGAATTCATCATCTCATTGTGCACTTTTCCAAAGTCTAGGCTGTCAAAACGACAATAAAAGTCATTTAAGTCGTAAACAAAATTCCTCACATCCTCAACACACAAGCATTCTCGCTTAGGAGTATATCCTGTTATTTGCTTTAGTCCTGCCCAACAAGCCTTTGAATTGTTAGTAGTGAATAATTTTTCGATTTTATGCTTGTATTGTTTTTTACCCTGATATATTTTTTCCTTCAATAATTTTTTTAGCTTTGATGAATTCCTGATCGTTAATCTTAAACATGTTCTTCTTGTGGTGGATGGCCTCCTTTATTTCTCTGTTCATCCAGGGTTTGTTGTTGTTGAATACTTGGATGGTTTTTTGGGGAATAATTTCGTCTACACAGAACTTAATGTAGGAATTGATGGTGTTTGTGAGCTCGTCAATGTCCGGGCAAGAGTTGATAAACATGTCCCAGTCTGTACATTCAAAGCAGGCTTGAAGTTTTTCTGTCGCCTCATCTGACCACAGTTCAATAGTTTTTTATTGAATTTTTGTTGTTTTTAAAACTGGCTTATAGCATGGCGTTAGGCGGACCATTATGTGATCGGATTCTCCAAGTGGAAACAAAGGTCTGTGAACTACAACTAAACAGACCATATCCAACTTTATATAATTAATCTACAATTAAAACACCTTCCCCATATGCAATGAACAATTATAATTTCTTATATTTATGTCTTAACAGTGTAAAGGTATTAAAAAACATAATTAAATGAAAGCTCATAAAGTTGGGTATGTTCAAGACCAAAGCTGGGCCAACAATGCCCACTTTTAATCATGTCAATGCAAATCTTAAGACAATTTCTTACCATATGCCCTAAAAATGGCTCCCTCTCTACTACACTCATTTTACTAATTTTAAGTTGTGATTGCTGAACAGAATTCGGAGGAAAAGAAAATTAAGGTAAATCACAAAATATGTAAAGGAAGATGTGCACACCACACTGCTAAGCACACATTTTTCCTTAAAATAGATGCCTAGAAAAAGTTTTGGACACTCATTCCCATCCAAACTTTAGTTCACCTTCTGATTCCCACAGACTACTTTCTAAAATATGTTCTTTTTTACAACAAAAACAAAAAACAACACTTTCTTAATTCCTGATCTTGATCTCAATAGCCAAACCCAGAAAAACACACTGTTTAATAAGTAATAACCAACCAATGGGCTCCACTTCATCTATTTATGACAAATCACACTTTATAATGTTGGTAATGGTAGTCGTAGTGAAAATTTCAGGATTCAACTCTTTGTGTCTTGTGATTGGACCATGATGTCTTTACTTTGCATAATTTTGTCTCTTTTAAACTATCTTCTGTGATAAATATATGAAATATTAATAAAATGAATTTAAAAAACTTGTGTTTTAATATAATAATGACCAAGTGATCGAAACAAAAACTAGTTCCTTTGGAGTCTTTAGTAAATGTGTTCTTAATGGTAAGGGTTTTGCAAAGAGTTGTCTCACCAAAACCACAGGGACATCACTTTGAGGAATCTCAACATTGGAATAGACCAATAGTTGCACCTGAATAATTTGTATGATAACTTTCCCATTCTTCACTGAGCATGATTAGCATCATAAACAAAATCTGACAATCAATACATTTAATATGAAAAATATTAAAATGAAAATTTCTTTATCTTTTTTTTTAGTAAAATTCAACTTATAATGTTCAAAGAAATAAAATAAGAAGACACTCATCCTTGCTGACACCCCAAGTGCTGTCTTTTCATTGGTTGAAAACATAAGTACCTGTATGCTATTCATTTCTGTCATGTCACCATTTTATGGGACATTTCAACATTACTTTCAGAGGAGGTAAAACTCCACTTTTCATTGAAAAAAAACCCACTTTATCCCTAATCAAATAAATATAGAGCAGAGTAAAAATTGGACTCTTTTGAATACAGACAATGACTGGTAGTTGACCTGGGGAAACTCCATGACCTCCTATAGCCTATAGTATATACTGCAGAAAACATTGACATTACCGCTAAGTACATCTTAGTCAGAGACTTCTTCTCAGAAGTCTTCATCTGTGTTTATCTAATGTTCTTTCTCTGCTTAAGACTTAAGCAAATAGTGGAACAAGGTATGTTGAAGTTCTGGCAATAAAATAACGGTAAAAGTGCAGTTCAGGTGCGTATATTATTTCTTAGCGCATTTCGTATTTTTATTTTTTTTTATCATGTAACCTTACGTGTATTCTTTAATAATTAAATCCAGGCAGTTATAGTTAACTAATTCTGAATTATAAATCGCATCTTTTCTTTTACTTCTTAAGAGTCTTTAAACATCCCCCAACCAAAGTGACAGGGCCCCCATTTGTTTGTATTTTTCTTTTTACGCTATGCCATATTTTTAGCCACCTATAAGTTAGTAATGCTAAACGAAATTTTCAAACTAAGCATGTTCACAAAAAAGAATGAAATACTAGATTCTTCATCACGCACAAGCGCCCCCCCAACTTTCTTTTTTCCCCCTCTCATAGAGCTCGGAATATAGGGGTTGTCCTTTGAAGTCGAGTCGTGGGGGGGGAGGAGATTAGAAGTGGATCACTGACTAAGCAGTGGACACACACGTCATCATTGTCCAGGACCTGACGTGAAGCTTATCACCCTGAAGGCTGCTAATACGCTGTCCGTGATTGGTCAGTTCTAATTTGATCACCCCTCCTCTTTTTTCGTATGCAAATGCGCTTATTACTGGTGACTGATTTGCGCTGAGTAAAGCGAGGGCTAGTGATAATTTTTTTTATATTATAAGAAGGACTCGTTTTGGCTTTGCGGTATTGCTGGTTGTAGGATCATTTTGTTTAAAATTGCAGGACGACCAAGAAACAATAACTAAAATTGTTGATGCAACTGGCATTTTTAATGGTGCAGCATTTGGTTTAAACGCGCACCTTGTGGGGCAACAAATAATGTTAAAACAACTGGAATTTCTCCTAAGGCGCTCGTAACAATTGCAATGTGGCTTGTAAGCTGGGTTCGTATGTCAAGTGTGTGAGCTCCCCATAATTACCGGGATCTGCATATCACCCAAAACAGGATCTCACCGTAACCGGTATCCCGCCAGGATCGGTAACCCACTGGATCGGGATCCCACCGGGATCAGAATCTCACTAGGATCAAAATCCTATCGGGATCGGAATCTCACCGAATCGGGATCCCACCGGATTGGGATCTCATTTAGTTTGGGATACCACCGAAAACGGATCTCACCGGGATCGGTATCTTACCGGGATCGGGATCCCACCATGACCAGGATTCTATCGGAATCACATCGGGTTCGGGATCCCATCATGATCCTTCCGGGTGCCATCGGAAAACGGGAAAAACGAAAGGTTTACATAAGTTATTTTAATTGTTTTTAATAGGAGACAAATTAATTATTATTATTTTTACTATAGTGTTGTTGTTTTGTTGTTGACATTTCGTTTAATAGCAATGTGAACTAAAAGGACGGAGCAGATGTTTTTTTCTGAATGCAGCCCCAGGCAACTCCGGTTATAGTTGATAGTAAAGTTATAAAATAAATACATCATTTATTTTAACAAGATTCATCCAATTGGGCAACTTTTATAAAGTATCTTTAAAGACAGAAGAGTTATCCTTGATTTACCACAATGGCTCCGTAAAACACGAAAGATTCATAAAAATGTACTTTTTTTATCTCGTAAAATTTGTTAAATTGTTGTTGTATTCCAATAAAAAGATGGTATATAACTTTTAAAATACTTTTTATAAAGAATTAACATAAGTTTACACAAGAAAATAAGAGATTCAAACAGAAATAATATACGCACCTGAACTGCACTTTTACCAAAATAACATACTATTACTATACATGGTGAACTACAACACTTAAGTTTTTGGTTTCTTATTCTTTCTTCTTTTGTTCTGTTAGCTGAAGAAGACTCTTAGCTGAAACATTCTCCTTTTATTTTCCTGTCTTTATAATTCAACCTTCCACGTACCTTGTTCCCCTATTTCCTTCACATAGCTTGAATGCAGGCTTTCATTTATTATCCTAAAGTCTTAAGCCTAAAACCAAATACTAAAAAACTTTATTTAGTTTAGCATAGAAACAAAATGGTGGTATCACTGACATGCTTTGTTAATTAAAAATTATTTGACCCATAAAATTATTTAAAGAATAGGCCTTGGTTACATAAACATTATCACATATTTTGAGCCCACTTAATTGAGGCTAAATAAGAGAAATTAAGAAGAGGTCAGGCTGAGTTGGGCCAAGTATGAAAATCTTACAAAAATGACTGACAACGTCAAACAAGACAAAATTGACAAATATTGAATGAATTGGTACCGAATGATTAAATTGACAATAACATAATTCAAACATGATCTAAGGCATTACCAACGGCAGTAGTAAGTTAAACAGCTTCTGAAACAAATTCTTTGAGGATATAATGTTTAATTGCCCAAAAATAAGCTAGTACACTATAAATATAGGGCTATTAATTTTTATTCTGACTAAACAATACAAGTGATACAAAATAGCAATAACAACACAACCGGAAAGTGAAAGGGACTACCGGAAATTCACGGAATATTTCAAAACTATTCTTCCATAATTCTAAAATATAATAATTAAATTTTTGAATAAAAATCAGATTAAAACAAGAAAAAATACGAATAAATAAATAAATATTGTAATTACTGAAATATTTTCATATCATGTATACAAATAATGCTTTGTTTTGGTGCTAAATTTCAATAACTGTCGCTAAATTTTGATATTATCAGCCAAGGCCGAGGCTAGGTAAATAGATAATGTATTAGAAGCTTACCTTTGTGGATACATTAAAAAATATTTTATCCTCTCATTATTTCCACTCGCTTTGTTTATTAGGTTAAAAGATAAAAATGAAAAAAGAAAATAAGATAGTGTGAATTTTCAATCGGAAATAGAGCACGACAAGAGAAATTCTTATATTTAGTTATATATATATATATATATATATATATATATATATATATTGTAAACTAGACCTATCAATTTAAATATCAATACCATAAACCATAGCCATAGAATTTAACAAGCTCCAGGGGAGAGGGGGGTTGGTTGGCCCACGATCAATTTATTGATCATTCTAGCTCCTATGCATGTGGATGGGATTTGCAATGTTTCTGTGCCTGGTGTTGAAGAAGATATTTCACTGGTTGTAATGGTATCATGAACCTGGGGTCTGAGGCAATAGAGGCAAATGTGTCGAGAGTTGTCGCATCAACTTTTCCCTTTGGAAGCTTGTTCAAGTCCCTGGTTGTCTTTGGCATGAATGAGCAGTTCATGGGCTGGCTTCTTGCTGGTATGAGCCGTAACTGCCTGCCATGGTCTCGTCGCTGTCTATAGGGGAGAGGGACGAATTTCTGTTTATAGCTGAAGCAGTGGGCCAGCCCATTATTTATCTTGAACATCATAGAGAACCTGGATAGTCGTCGTCGTCGTTTCTCCAATGGTGACCAGCCTAGTGTTTCTAGCTTGCTGCCAATACTAGAGGTATTCCTGTAGCAGTGCAGGACAAAGCGTGCTGCCCGTCGCTGGACCGCCTCCAACCTGCCAATGCTCTTCTGGGTAAATGGGTCCCAGACTGAAGATGCGTAATCTAAAAGCAGCCGGGCAAAGGCTTTATTGGGCTCTTTCTTTCACACCGGAGTTGCCGATCTTTAGATTTCGCCTTAAGAACCCCAGGGTCTTGTTTGCCTGGTTGCACACATTGTTAATATGCTCGTCCTAGCGGGCCTCTCTTTGAATGGTAACACCGAGGTACCTTTACGGAAGAAACTGGCTCAAGTATATGGCCATACAGTTACTAATGGTGGTGTAGAGGAGTACAAATTCTAGAGATCGACAGTGCCTGGCACTTGACAGGATGAAATTCCATGTCCCAGCTCATCTCCCACTCAGCTAACCGATTGAGATCCTATGGGAGCTGGTCCTGGTCATATATGTTAGCGATCGTCCTATACACCACCTAGTCATCTGCGAACAGTCTTGCCTGGGATGTCAGTTTCTCGGGTAGGTCATTAATAATAAACAGGGGCCTAGCACCGAGCCCTGGGGGACCCCTGACTTAACACCGACAAAGGAGGAGCTTGTACCGCCCACCACTACTGCCTGGCATCGGTTGCTTAAGAAGTTAGAGATTCATGTTTTAGTAGGGCCTTAGATCTCATTTCTCTGAAGTTGGTGTAAAAGCAAACGATAATAAATATACAGAAAACCGTATATAGTCATGCTGTCTTATAGGTCCCTTAGTTTGGGGTTGCCAAAATGGGCATTTGATGTTGACCCCCAGATAGGTTTGGGGAGTTAAATGGCCCATTTTTAAAGTAGGCCTAGGCTAACTAATAATATTGTTAAACAGTTAAAAATAATTCCATAACAACTTAAAAACTTAAATGAAACGCCATGTACTTCATTATCTTTAGTAAACATTTTAAAATAACAATTTATCAAAGATGAGATTTAACGCACTATAAAGTAGAAAATAAGACCCTTCTCTTAGAATGAATTACGCAAAGAAAGTGCAGAAAAGTAGTAAAACACTATATGAATCCAAAGGATTTGAATTAAACATTGAAGAAACGTAAATATATTTTTTATTTTTATTAATTTTTAAAAATATTTACTGCACATATTTTCTTGCTGGTCTCGAGTCCAGAGGGTATTCATGGGAACGGCGTTTCTTGTACTTTTTCCACAGCACTGAAAAATATGGTAAGAATACATATTTATGGGGGAGGGGGGGTCTTGGGTTTGTTTCCAAACATTTGTTCCTAGGACTTGGCCTATCTCTATAGCATATAACGTATATACAGGGTGGGCCAAAGAGGTGATACGATTGTATAATGTAGACATGATTTAATTATTGTGGAAATAGTTTTGTAGGCAATGAATGGAGAAAACCTTCGTACAATTTTATCAACTGAAGCATACAAGAATGCAACCAACTTTGGAAAAAAGTTGTTGAAAACCAATGAGGAAACAGAAAATAATCCCTGAATATTGACATTGTTTAGCATAAAACAGCGAAATGACAAAACAATAACCCCCCCCCCCTGTAATTTGTATTTAAGCCCAGATTTTCAACTTATGGCCCCTATATATATTTAAACTTACCAAATTATACAGGTTAAAACAGGGACCTGCTGACCAGGCAAAACTATTAGCGTACCTAAATGGTGCAAAAGGATTTTTTTGCCCGGGCAGTACTTTCATTTTATATGACGAGGGGCTCAATGTGGGAAATGGCATCTCATACTTTGGTAGCGTACTGTCCCAAAGGGGTACCATCAATGACGAGGTCAATATATACATATTGCAAGAAACAGTGCAAATTATGGCAGATTTTCTAAGAATATATGGACCAAACGAGGTATTAGCACTCACACTAAATTGGAGGCATACAAGGCAGCTGTGCTCCATATGCCTGTGAGTCTGTAAGACGTGGACGATCTATCAACAACATGCAAAAATATTGAACCACTCTCATGTGTCATAGGCGATTTTGACTGATCAACTATTATTAATTTTATTATATACAACCTTAACAACATTCTTTAATAGATGTGTGAGTTGGCAGCATGCAAGAAACACTAGTCTGGTCTACATTGGAAGAATGACGACGACTATCCAGGCTCACCATGTTGTACAAGATAAAAAAAATGGGCTGATCCACTGCTCCGGAATCAAACAGAAACTCGTTCATCTTCCCCCTAGACTGCGACGAAGCTACGACAGACAGTTCCGGCTGGTAAAAACAAGAACAAAGTACAGGAGCTCCTCATTCCTGCCGAAGACAATAGGGGACTGGAACAAGCTTCCAAAAGCAACAGTTGAGGCGGCTACACTCGACACATTTGTGTCTATTGCCTCCTGTATTCCAACCCCCAGTTCATAACACCACTGCTGAGTCGCCCTTGCAACCAGTGAAGTATCCCATTGAAACCCATGCACAGTAACATCGCAAAACCCTCTGAAACATAGGAGCCAGAATGATCAATTCATTGATCGTGGGCCCTCAAAATAAAGAAGAAGAAGAAGAGTTGGGTGCGCAATTTTGGGAGTTTGCACTGGCTTGGATTTACTCAAGGTAGGCCCAGACCATTGGGAATCACACAGGCATGGGTGTGTGAAAGAAAACCTTCGCTCGGGCGAATCCAGAAAATTGCGCAAATCTATTTGATCATATAAATCAAATATAGATGATTGACTATCTTGGCGTCTCTTGATGTTGGCACAAGGTCTAATAAGCGACATCGTGTAAGTTGTGTATTTTGGAAGAGAGAGAGAGAGAGAGACTATTAGTACTTTCACATTTCTCACTTTAATAATCTACTTTCTAAAAATTGTCTTTATTCTATTAAAAAATTGTTTAAACAGCTTAGTAGCCTAATAATTCTATTGTCATCAGAAGATGCTGGCTCTAAACTAGCACATTATCCTCTGGGGTGGGGGCATAGGTTACACGCGTAAAACCTGACCCAGACATCAACTTAACACGTGATCTAATTTATAGATAAATGAACGTTGCGTAATACAAGTTTAGAAATTGAAGTCTTTAGACCAGGGGTCGGGAACCTATGGCTCGCGAGCCAGATGTGGCTCTCTTGATGGCTGCATCTAGATCGCAGACAAATGTTCCATTAAGGAAAAAAAAGTCACATTAATGTTAATGGTAAGAAATACTCATTATTGATTAGCAACAGCATAACAATGCTATTAAAAAGAATTCAGAGACCTAATTATTGCATTTTTCTTGTTGAAATTGCACAAAATGCGCACATTTTACTTGAATTGAATTTTTAGTTTTAAACATAATGTATGGCTCTCAGAGATTTACTTTTCAAAATATGTGGTGTCCATGACTCTCTCAGAGAAAGAGGTTCCCGACCCCTGCTTTAGACATTGACTTTTAGCATAGTTATATTAAACATGTAATTTGTAACCAAGAAAGTTCTCATTAAAAAAATAATTATTCAAGACTTTCTAAACATAGACTGGAAAAATTAATTTTTATTTTAAAATTAATTAAAAGTAATTGAAATTGGGACAGATCATGAAACCGACCAGGATGCCATGCCAAAGTAGCTAATCAGAGAAGATCCCGCTCAAACCGGAACGTATGGTCAGCCTAAATAAGTTGGTCTAATGTATGACCGTGCAAAGCTTATAAGGCAAGGAAGTGGAGAGAATGGGAAAGGGAAATGGGTGGGCCGAGGGTAAGAAATAGAAAATATTGAGAACGTAAAGAGGGAACAACCATTGTATGATAGAGGGTGGGTGGGGATTGAGATGGGATTAGGGAGCGTGTACGGAGGGAGCATGGGAGGAAGGAAGGCAAGGGGAAGGGGTCAGGGCGAGTGTAGAGGAGAGTTGTGGTGGAGAATTTAGACAGATGAGTCAGATGGAAGAATAACTTTTCTATCTTTCTTTTTACGCTCAACACGCTGTTTTGGTATATAAATAATTATATGCGATAGGCGGTTCCATGGACATGAGTGGACAACCTCTAATTTAATTTAATAGCCTATATTTCAATCCTATAAGATAGGCTAATGGTTATTAATATATTGCGATATTTTAATAAACTGTCTTACGTAGGACAAAGAGCAAATCACACTAGATTTACTGTTACCTTGAACCGAGACACTTCCCTAGTCAAACAACCATGGCGGGTCAGTCATTTAATATAAATCAGTTACCGCCAGCAACTGTAAATTTAATTGGTAGTGGGCAAGTTATAACTAGTGTTTATAGTGTTATAAAGGAATTAGTTGAAAACTCTGTAGATGCAGGAGCAACATCACTTGATATAAGGATTGTAAGTTACCCTGCCTTATATGATTATATGACAATGTAAATTGAAATTTACACTGCACTACATTGACTACATCACTACACTTAACTTTAACACTACTATTTACTACTACTACTACTACTACTACTACTACTACACTAGACTGAGGCCTGAGGAGACACTCACTTCAGTAGTACTAGTACTACTTGTCTACTCAACTCACTAGTACTACTAAGTTGAAGTTGTCGCCAGTAGTCTGACGCTAGTGTCCATCTTAGTCTCTAGAAGAGTCTGGAGTCTAGGGTAATCTACCACTTGAGTTGTTCCTGTTTAAAGGGCTATTTAAACAATTATTCATATCTTGTTTTTACGACGTTGAATGGATTCATTCCAGCACATACATAGTAAAACAAATAACACGAGACAATTTAAAAAAAAAAAGAAAATGTAAAACAATTTAATTAAAAAAAAAAATAAAATAGAAGAATTCAAACAATGTAATGTAATGTGTGAAAATGACATTATGCATAGTTCTCCCCAAAGGCGACAATGAAGTTTTTGAAAATATAATTTCCTCGAAAACGGTTGCGGAACATTAATTCATGTAAATATGAAGGGAACACTTCGAGGCTTGTGCCAAACTGCCTTTTCAGTTTCGTATCTGATCACTTATTCACTATCAAACACTTCGTGCATCGGCACTATTGTAGTCTCTCCTCTTTTCCTGCCATATCGGGAACTTTGTACCGTAGTAATAATCATTTAAATGTATTGTGCTAAATACGGAAGCGAAACCATCAGAAAATTGTTTAAATAGCCCTTCAAACCGGAAAAAAATGATTTTTTCTTGGCCGACGCTAAAGTGGTAGATTACCCTAGTCTAGACCTAGTACTAGTACTAATTGTACTTAAGAAACTGTGAGTGGGAAATCTCTAACTCTAGTCACTAGTCTTAGTTAGTGACTTAGACTTAGTCTTAGCTAGGTACTTCGTTGAAGCAAGGGACACTCCTATAAAATTTGTATCGGAAATGGGCGTCGAGGCAGTAGAATCCAAGTTTTTAATTTTTTTATATGCATGTAAATTTTAATAATACAGGAGTCCTTTTGGTCCATAATTAAGGTCTGACTCCGCCCATTCACATTAGGAGAAATGTTGACCTACATTCCCATAGAGTTTTTTTGTTCTTTATATCAACTTTAAGTGAGGAAAAATCGTATGTCAATATAAGGCATCTTTCTCTCATTTAAAGATCATGTCTTTCATATTAAATTCTGAAAAACACAATATATTGATGTATAATGTTTATGTATGCAAATTCTCATTGATGTAGGTTGTGTCCAACAATTGCTATGCATGTCCAAGTAACCTGCATTACCTTAAGGTCGCTCAGCCTAATTTCAACATGGCCTGGGCCACGCCCCCTTTTAATGGCAGAAGTTGCAGATACTTAGGAAATATTTAATTATTACCACTATTTACATCAAAATATTTGATAACTTGTGTTTCAGAATGCATTTTGAAGACATTTAAACTGGAATGTTTTAATTTGAGCTTTAAAAGTCCTGTAGAGTCCATATTATAAATGATCAGAATTTTCCGTGTGCAACACGTTGTCATTGGCAACCATTCACAGCCACTTGCATAATGGCTATATCGTAGTACTATCTCAGAGTTTCATTCATAAGAGTTTGCTGTGTGCAAAAACTATTAAAACATTAGTCAGGGAAAGCTTTAATTAATTATTCATGTGCCAAAGTTGAAAGTTTAAAATAAGTCGACCCTAAACAGCATTTTAGTGATAAGGGGATGTGTTGCCATGTATAAACTATATAGCCATTGCTCATGACGCGATCAGCGGAATGAGATCACAAGATGTGGAGGTTTCATCCATAGTAAAAAATACCAAACGAACTCACACTTTAAAAATTCGTATCTCAAAAAGTACTTAAGCTTAAAAGTTGATTCTGGTTTCATTTTCTTAATTTGAAATTAGCTCTAATAACTGTAATACCAAAAAAATTATTTTGAATTTTTAAATTTTTTCACTAAAGTACCTAGTCTTAGCCTTAATTCATTAATTTAAGTTTAAAAAAAGTCATACAAATAGTAAAGCGTTTTTTTTTTTTGTTCATAGTGTAAACTTTAAAAAATAAATAATCAACTTATTTCATTATTACAAGGATTTAATAGTATAAGTATAAGTATTATAAGTCAAATATTATCATTTTGTAACAAAACAAAAACTATTAATAGTAAACAAATTGTACAAGATCAAAAAAGTACACCTGACCACCTTCCATTCATCTTTTGTTATTCATGTCACCATTGATTGTGAAATACAAATACAAGGAGAGATCAGAATGTTAAAATCTTGACTTTTTAAAAGCAACAAAATGTAAGACAAACTAACTAAAAAATAAAAATACTTGATCTATTAATTAAGTATTGAATTGAAGTGTTTTAATATAGTTACATCTGGTAAATAGGGAGTTTTTAATAATTAAAAACCCCTACTTAATGTAATAATGATCACTCCTCAAAAAAGAGATTCTGCAGTGAATAAAGTTATTAAAGTCTCGAAGGCTAAACTGTGGCCTTTTATTTTTAGTTTTAGCTTATATTTATAAGATATAATATGAAAAAATTTGGCCTCCATCTTATCCTAAGATGCCTAAGAGTAACAAGACCCTAGGGGCTTGCCAAAGAGTAGCTAAAACTACAAATGAGTACATGTAGTGGAGTGTTGATTTTCCCAACTCATTGGGACCAAGGGTAGTTCGGATAACTTACAATATTGCAGATAACCAAAGATGGAAAGGTTGCATTAAAGACATCAGTGCATATAATATAATGTATTCTTAGCTTTTAGAAGTTATACATTTTGATGTGTTTAATATACAGTGTATTAAACAAACCATACAGTTTATCAGGTCAGCTAAGTGATATATATATAAATATGTATTATATATATATATAAGTTACGAAGTTGCTTTATTGACCATTTCATTACCGCTGACGTCAATGAGAGTCACGATCACCCACTTTCAATTACCTAGGACGCCACATTGTCATGATAACGAAGAGGCAAAGCACTTTTCTGAATTACGAATACGTCACGTCGACATCACAATTTCAGTGTTATATATTTCTTGTATTCTTCAATTTATAGAGAAGTTAATAAGTGAATCGTATAGAGAATGAAAAAAAACCACAGAATTTTCCTCTTTGAGTTTTTAACTGCTGGCATTTACATTTGCATTTAACATTCATTACGGTGATTTCTTGTATATTTACAAACAATGCTATCCAGTGCTTGGTATTTTAAAGTTGGTGAAAGGTCAATATTTGCACAGTCAGCAAAAATCGAAAAACCAGCCATAATTAAAGGATTAACAAGCTTGCAGATCACATTATCTCAGTCTGATTACTAGATTTTCCTGGATTGAGTTACAAGGGTTTGAATTGTTTTCCGTCCTTTGTATACCAAAGTTCCATGCAGTGCCCATTGGTTACCATAATAAAAATAAAAAGACAGGGGCATTACGGATAATTGCAGTTGTAATTTGTTGTTCTGCTATACTTAGCCCGACTACATACTACATCATGTAGTACATGGCCCATTTGGGGGTGGGGGATGGATAAATCAGAAATAGTTTTATAAGTTTTATAAATTAACAAAATAAATCTATAAACAAGTCAACATCTAGTTTTTACAAATACTTTTCACAGGACAACTTTGGATTAGACAAAATTGAGGTAAGTGACAATGGCCATGGACTCTCAGCCATTGATGTCCCCTTCTTGGCAAAAAGACATTATACTTCAAAGTTAAGCTGCACTAGTGACATGAACACCCTTCAGACTTATGGTTTTAGAGGAGAGGCGCTAGGTAAATAAACTAAGGATTAATACATATTTAAAAATATGAAAAGCTCATTATTTTATCATTAAATTGTATAATTAAATACAATTTTCAACTATTCAATGAAAAAATTATATAAGTGATGTATACATTAATGTCTTGTTTTGCTTTTAAAGAAATATTAACCTTTATTATAGTAGGTGTTACAGCATTGATGAAATAACCGTTTACTGCCACAAAATGATGTCAGTTATAAATTTAGTATCGAAGTTGGAAATAAGAGAAGGAATTTTTTAATTGAGTGAACAATTGTTTAAATTTTTTTAGATCATATTTTATTATGTTATCAGTGTTTGCCTAGTTTTGCAATTATTGCACATGATCTGATTGCTAATCAGTAATTCTTTGTCACTCCATTCTCAAGAGCTCGATACTAATTGTAATAAAAGAAAACTTAAGCTTTGCAAGATTCTGATTACTGTAGATAGGGGATTCCAGATAATTAAAATGCATTTTCTAAATAGGTCAATTTAAAACACTGTATAACACCTTATAAAATGTTGAATATATAGAGAAAGCATTAATATTACAATAGAGATTTAATGTGTTACTGTTCAACAGCATCCCTATGTGCAGTTTCCGATCTAAAAGTCACCACAAAAACAGAGCAGGATGACCTTAGTTATGTTTATAGCTTTGACCAAGAAGGAAACATAATAGATAAAAAACCATCACATCTTGGCAAAGGTTGGTATTTTTGAAAATAATCTTTATCAATTTCTTATATTCCATAATAAATTGCATTCCTGCTTAAAGAAGTTTAGGACTAAGTATTCTTACTGTTTTTCTCTCTTGGAGGGCAATAAACCTCTCTTGGAGGGCAATAAACCTAAAATGTGACACTTTCATAGCCATGTCTTACAGATCACTCAATCATCTTTTTGAATGAATTTGATGCAATGATGACTAGGGAAAATATCAGCTGTTTGGTATGTTGGTTTTAAAATGTCAATTTCTTGTGTTCTAGGCACCACTGTCACTGTTGTCAAACTCTTTTACAATATACCTGTAAGGAAACAGTACTATTCTTCTTCTCAAAGAAGGAAAGAGGACTTGAAGAAAGTCGAGGATCTTCTCATGGCATTTTCTATAATCAAACCACAGTTAAGGATAGTGTTTCGCCACAATAAAGAATTGATGTTGCAAAAGCTGCCAGCCAATAATACAAAGGACGCATTAACTTCAGTTCTAGGAAGACAAGTTGCAAGTCAACTTGTGTTCAAAGAAAAAGCAATAAATGAAATTGGAGTATGTTGTTTTCTTTCCTTTTTAGATGCTATGTAATAAAGATTTAAATATTTTGTATTGGTATTCATTCTTGTTTCTTGCTATTATTTTCTACTTAAAAATATTTTCTTCTTCTAAATTGATGATCTTAATTATAATTTAAAGCATTTAAGCTAACTCCTAAAGACATGTTTTTTTTCTCTTAAGGCAAAAGTATCAGTATATGTTCCGAAACCTGGTTCAGATGTCAGGATTATGTCTCGTTCTACCGGTGACAGAAGTTTTATTGCTGTCAATGATCGTCCTGTGTTTTTGAAAGAACTATTGAAAGTGAGTTTTAACTTTAAAAAAAAAAAAATTTGCAGATATCTACACAAATTAATGTTGCTATTTTCATTCCTCGTTGAGGATTTTCTGGATTTATTTGCAGCAATAATGTCAAATGTATATTTTTATATTTTGCTCTACAAAAGTTAGAAGTAATTTAAGTTTCAAATCTATACTTACAACTGCTTTGGTTTGATATAATCATTTCTATCCTGAAATTTGCGTATATGGACTTTATTATAAAGTCAAATTATTATTTTTATGGATGATTGAATTTTCGGTTAATTTTAAAGGTAGTTAAACAGTACTACAACAATTGCCATCCTTGTGATGCAACACGTCTGCCAGTCTGCTATGTGCAAGTCATTCTCCCTACAACAGATGTTGATGTCAATGTTGATCCAAACAAAACTATTGTCTTTCTTCAACATATGGTATGGAGTTTTAAGCAAAATCAAAGCCTGTAAAGCACTTACAATTAGGTTATGATGAAATCTTCTTTTTTTTTTAAAGCTTATCATTTTGAATGCAATTGTGAATGCACAAACTTTTTTGTTGCATAGACCTAAGAAATGTTTCTTATTTACATTTTCCCTTAATTGTACATTGGTGCAGTTTGTTAAAAAACATATTTTTTTCCCTCTTTATTCATGATGTTTAAAGAAGGAAATACAGATGTGTTCAGAAGAAATTTTACTAGAGTTGTACGGCCCTTTAGATAATGTTCCTTCATGGCACTACAGTCAGTCATCAGAGGGAATTGCACAACAGTCTTTAGCAGCAGATGATAAAAAACTGTCCAGTGAAGAAGAGGAGGTAGGTTCCAATAGCAGCTACTGCATTAAACTCCCTTTTGAAAATAGTGAGAAAAGATCAGCATTGTTAAATTAGTCTAGCGTAACATCATGTGGCTAAATAAATTCAGTTAGGATGATTTAAATTTGAATAATTAAAAATACAATTGATCATTATTTTTTGTGACTGAGACTAAAATCTCTTTGCTAATTCTCTGCACTTTTGGTCCATATTTCTTTTTCAGGTCACTAGAGACAGAACAACTAAAGTGAAAGTATCCAACCATATGGTGTATTCCAGAGTTCAAACAAATGATGCAATGATGACACATCAGATGAATGATAATCAGACTGACAAAAGCAAGATGGAAAATAATCAAAATAATAACACCCTATACTTAGATGTTAATGTTTCACTGCATTCTGAAGGCAACAGTAAAAACTCGCCTGATTTAAGCCATGGTGTTCCTGATGAATCACTTGCTATCAGTGAAATTCTTTCCTTGAATGATAGGCATTTAGATGATTTTAATCATGCTAATGCACCAAAGGTTAATTTACAAAATGATGTAACCCCTGGAACACCCGCAGGTGGTGTTTCTCATTCATTGTTTGATGTGCCCACAAGTGAGAAAATAAATGAAGCCACAAGTGATGTGGAGGTGGCACTTTCTCATGGTGACAGCCTGCAGAATATTTCAGTTAAGGACAAGACGGCAACAAGTTTAGAAGGGCATGCTTATTTCAGTTCAAGTTTTTTAACTGATAATTTTGACAACACACCTTTAACGGAAGCAGCGGAAGGTACTGGTGGTGATAATCAGTTAGGAACCATCAGTACTACTACAGGAAGCAGCTGGAGCAGAGGAAACTGGATTTCAGATGTCCAAGGTAAACTTTTGCAGGTATAGCAAACATTTTATTATTTTTGTGGCTACCAACTCCAAATTTTATTATGGCTATTTACTAGAATTTCTGTTTAATATTGCTGCATATATGTAATAAATAACACCTCACAATTTTTTAAAAATTCTTTTATGTTGTTTCCTTTTGATACATTAGTAATATATATTTCATTTTTCTCAAGCCTGTTCAACTTTTAGCACCCAGTTCAAAACATATTCCTGGAAAACATGCCCTAAGTAAAGAGGGAGTACACACTGAGTGTCCAGCAAAGCGTAGAAGAACACTGACAGAGGTAATAAATGATTTCAATACCTTTTTATAGTTTTATCTCTTACCACAATGTTGTCATTTTCTCCTTTCAACATTCTTAATTTCAAGTACAAGGGACACTATTTCAATCTTTAATTTTTTAATGGATTCAAATGAAAATTTAAATGCATTAAAATAATCTATGGCAATATATATTTTCAATTAGACATTGGATCCCAACCAAACTACATTGGATGATGTCATGGACAATAAATCAAGAATGGCAGGTATCAAGACACATTTTTTTTCTCTTAATTTGGATAGGTTATTGTAAATTTATTATTTGATAATTGTAAATTTATTATTTGATAACAAATAGGTGATTTTGTTACACTGTTAGACTGAATGAAAGTAAAATAGTAGTGATGCGAACAAAGTATTACCATATCATTATGTAGAACTGCCATTTCATTATAAGAAGAAATGCCATTTTTCAAGTGAATTCAGAAATAAAATAAGAGATGAAATTCTGATGTATTTTTTAAATGAATAGTTGAAAACCTGTTTCAGACTGTATGAATGATTGTAACAATTTGGAAATGTTAAAAATCTACAACAGTATGTGGTAAATATAAAATGCTACATTTTTATGCACAATTTATAATTGCAGTGAGTATTTCTGCAGAAAGTCAAGCAAATGGGGAAGAGAGGCTTAAACCTTCAGACAGCATCTTAGATGAAGCTGACCTAGCAAAGTATAATAGCAATGAAAAATTATGCATATATATTTTAATTTCATCTTAAATTTTAATCACAGATTTAAAAAAAAAAAATAATTTTACAGAATAAATAAATGAGAATTTAAAAAATTTTAAAAATTCCCTTAAAATAAATAGTCCATCTCTAAACATTTAGAATTTGTGATTAATGTTTATGTTTTGGGTTTATCTTCCTATAGAATGAAAAGCAAAGAATCATTAAATGGGATGAAAAATAATCAACCAACTAAAGCATTAAAGGTGAACTTGAACATCTCATTTTATTAATTTTTATGGAAGTATTGTAATCTCTCTTATTGTTTGTTATATTTTTGAAACCTTTTCTTATATTGTTTAAAGAAACAATATAAAATGCTTCTTTTGTATAGCAAAGTGTTCGGGATCAAGTAGCTGTCATGGCTTCTCAGAGTCAAGCAGAAAAAGTTAAAAAGTCACTCAAGAGAAAGCGCTATCATACCGAGCAGAAAGTTGACATAGATTTGTGTCTTTTAAGATGTGCATTGGAGAAAAAAGTTACAGATGATAACAGGTAAAGATTTTTTTAAGGAATATTTTTTACTTTAAATTTAAAAAAAAATTATTGAAAAGACCATTTGTGTAATAATAATTTTTACATTAAAATTTCCATGGCAATTTATTATATAAATTTAAGAAAAATCAATTCACACATATTCTTTGTTTTTCAGTATATTGTTTTCCAAGCCTACAGTGATTGGTCATGACAATTTATGTGATGCTTGGTTTTGTTGTCATGGCAACACCATGAGTCTTGTAAATGATCATAGACTTGGTGAGGTTACTTTGTACTATAAACTCAGGGCAACACACAGGCTTTTGTTGAGTCCTTGCCAAATTCCAGTTGCTCTTAATTACAGGTTGGTTTCTAATGCAATCAATAAATTGTTACTAAACCACTTAGATTAAATTTTTTCAAAATCTACAATAATATGTCTTTCATGGTAAGATTTGTTGCATACTTTGGCAGCCCGAATATCACTTCTGCCTATAACCGTAGTGGATATTGGTGGGCATAATAGGATTCAGAATTTAAAATTTCACAAAAATGCCCTGTATAATTTATTACTGCTAGTAATTTAATGATTGACTTATTTCCTATTTATAAACATGGGAGAAAAATCTTCATAATAGAATTAAGTCTCATCTGTTTCAACATATTTGAGACATCATTTTTTTTTAACACAATTCTCTGCAGTATCAAATTGTCAGTTAAAATTCCTTGTTAAAAAATAAATAGCTGACTACAATAGTATAGTATTTTGGCAAGAGAACTCGTCTTATTCTTATCCTCCATTACATTTATTTTTTGTCAGAGGTATCAGTGAATCGATTTGGTCAACTCTAAACCTTTTGGCAGAGGAAAACAGAACAAATGACACATACTTTACTATCAATGATGAAAGAATTGTTGCTAATGGTTTTGAAGTGAAATGTCATTTTGGTAAATTATTTTTGTAACACTTCCATTGTGTGATTTAAAAAAAAAAAGAAGGATTTAAAGATATATCCATGTTTGTTTCTGTATTGAAGGTTTTGCTTGATAAAACATCAGACTTCAGTTATTTATGTATACAAATTCTACAATAATTTTAGTAGTCCTTCAAGGGTTGTTATTTTATTATGGTAAAAGATAATCTTGATTAGGAATTTATAACCAATACTTTTTTTTATTTGAACATTAATATCCATTATCCATTCTTTTCATGTTAGATTTGGAAAACAAGTTGCACGCTGAGTTAGTTGGATTGTGTAACCTCATTCCTGCCTATAGCTGTCAAGACTTGTATGAAGTTTTGGATATTATTAACAAGAACCCAAAAGTGATATTGGAAGATGCAAGACCCACTAAGGTTCTATATTATTTACAGGTATTTATTATTTTTCAAGCGAAGTCAATTCATTTATACATCTTAAGTCCTGGGTTGGAGTTTTCAAATCAATAGTTCTCTGTAGGTTCAGCAGCAGTGGTGGTATAAATTTTAGCAAGTTTGCTCCTACATGTTTATTGGTTGAAAAAGTTAATACATTTTTTGGGGTCATTGATGAATCATTAGAATAGTAATATATGGATGTTTTCATCACTCAAAAAGAGTTTATTTAAAGTGATTAAAAACTGAGTATGGATAGCATAATAATAAATATTCATATTTAATCAAGGGTGAAGCTGTCCGCATGATTCAGCAGATCCCATGCAAGCGGTCCGCTTCTGATGTTCAAGATATGTTGAATCATTTGCCTGAAGCCCCAGAATTGCAGTTGTGTGTGCACCACAAACCATTATTTCATAACCTTTGTGATTTGACAGATCTGTAACTTTGATGTTTTTCTAAATAAATATTTTTTACTGAAGAAAAATTATTTTTGATTTATTTATGAACATAGAAAAAGAGCATTTTATGTTTAGGGAAGTGATGTTTTAAAAATATTATTTTTGTTTATATAGTAAAAGATAAGACAAAATTGATTAAACTCATACTTAAATAATATAAAAAATACTGGCATTTTCTGAAAGCTCTTTAATGTCTTTTACAATGATGAAATAAATTAATATAGTGTGATAGTGTGAATATCAAATAACATCAGAATTACAGTAATGATATTGGTAGGAAATGCAAAGGTCATTTTGTTTTTAACGGCCAGAGCTAAATCATAAATTTAGTGCCCATTTATGAAAAAGCATGGGAAAAAAAAAATCTTATGTGAAACTAATTCAACTAAATTCCTTAAAAAATTTACAACTGAGAGTTTCCCTGTGTTAAATATTTTCATGACAATCTTATTAATGCCTATAAAGTTGCATTATATTTTCCAATAGTCAAAAAAGGTACAATATCATCTTGTTGATAGTGGTATTTGTTTCGTTTGAATACTCTTAAAAATGACCCAGAAATGTGAGAACCCATTTTCATTATACAAAATCTATAAACATTAGGCAATTTTCAAATTAAAATATTGCACAAGTACATGAATTATAAGTAAAAATACATATAGATATATTGACTGAATATTTAAAAAAAAATAATTTGTCTTTAAAAAGTGCCTAAAATGAGAAAATTTAAAGTGATAAATTGCAAAATTCATGAATATGTGTAAGGTTATGTCAGGAAAAATAAAGATTTAAATATTAAACCAATGAAAAATGATCCTATGCCCCAAAAACCAAGTTATACTTTGAAAATTATGGTACATCTTTCTAAAGAAATAAGTAACAAATTATTTTTGCATACTAGAATGAATATTCCTTTTAGATAACAATTGTCTAAAGAATGTAACCAGCTTTTTACAATAGAGCATTGGTTATGTTCCAAAACTAAAATATCTCATTCTCAACGCAATGCTGCAACTTTTAACAAACTCTCTTCTACACTTCATCATAGTATAAAACAATTTAAGAAAACAAAGTTTTTCACTAATTGTAACTTCTGAGTAAATCTTACATCCCTATCTCCGCATTTGAGTTGAATGTGACATCTTCAAAAAACGAATAGTCATTTAAAACGCAAAATAATCAGTGAGGTTTTAAATGCATTAATACCAAATATATTTCTAGAACTTAAAGAAAGTTTAAAAAAATAAAAGTAAATGGTCCATGAAGCAGTGTTTTCTAGCCTCCTTTGGTTGAACTTATAAAATGTCAACTTTTTTATATTTAGCAAAGTTGACCTCAAACCTGAGAGAATTATGAAATGTGTTTAAAATAAACAGTAGCACACTTAAGATGTGAGCACCAAATTGTAATTTACAGTACCAATGATGTAACATGTAAAAATATGAAAAGAGCCACAGAGAAATATGAAAGTATTAATTCCCATAATTCCTCCTTAAGAAAAAACTAAACATACTTGGATGAAGATAAAAATCTTTCAGAATCCAAACCACCAAAGATATAAAAACCTATTGAAGTTTGAACATGGGAGAAAATATAGAAAAACAAATCTTCAGTGTGTCAGTGCAAGAGAGTGGGGGGGGGGTTAAGAATCTGGTCCACCACCTCCTTACCTATAATTTTTAATATCAATCATAAATTATCAAGCTTATCTTGCAACTCATTTCGGAAACTACAGAATAACATAATTTGCATTAATTAGAAATTGTATAAGAAACAAAATATTTACACAGACTTAGGTTCAGCAGAGGAAAGTTTTAAAACAAATTTTTGATAACGTTTTTAATACACGCTGATAAACAAAATGACACCACATTTATCCAAGGTCACCGTTTTGATTGCCTCTTACGCAGCTGAGACTCATGGTTGGAGGGAGTTTGCTTATTACCATCAACTTTTTCTACCCTTGTAGACCTCGAGTGCAGCGTTCGGAATATTGTCTGGAATTTGTTGTCTGGGAAAAGTGTCACTAATACCCCCTCCAGCACAACATACAAGATACGCTTATTCAGAGTCTTGTGTTGAAACATTTGAAAGACCCTAGCCACTCCTTTTCGTACAGCATCCGTCCCCATTAGTGTACGCACTTCATCTGAATTTGACAAAACAAAAATCACAAATGATTAACCCTCCAACTGTGGCATGCATCATTCTGTAGTGTAGAGCTTTTCAGAGCTTTTTGAGTGCCTTTTGAAATTGCATTAAGTGACATAGAAATATTGATGCAAGACCCCAATAATTATATATTTTTAGAAAGGTAAATGGATGGGAATAAAGTTGGCTATATTGCCCACCCCGTAAAATTTTTTTGCTCAGTGTCCTTGACCTTGGAGTGCTGAGGAAAATAAAAATCGAAATAATTTCTTGCTTTTAAGTGCTCATAACATCATTAATTTTTATAGATACACTTAAAACACAAATCTAAATGTTGTAGCCAGTTCATTTATCTTTCAGAAAATTTATAATTTGCTAAGGTTTTGATTACAATTAAACCTCTCAAAGCAATTTTAGTAATTTTAGGTCATTTGTATAAGAAACTGGGACCACAGCTAAAACCAAGTACAAAATACAAAATCTCTGGCAAAATGGTTATTATTGACTAGTAAACATTTAAAAAAGAACCGAGGACCTGATGTGGGTTGTTAAACTTTAAAATTTATTAGTTCTGATCTATAATCTGTAGCTTCTGTGACTAAAATTCAGTCAGTCCTTGCCCAACCTCCGGGCCTGGCTCGAAGTCAAACAGTAGCCACAGTAGGCCTACTTCAGTATCACTAAGACTAGTATCAGATTCACGAAAAGAAGAATCTGAAGTGAGATGTCATGGCGAATGTTAAAATCATCATCAGTATCACTTAAATCCTCTCCTAAAAAGCTTTCAACAATATTTATATTAGTTCTCGTACTAAAGGCCCGGTCAAAGCTTCCGCCATTTTAGCTTTAAAAAAAACAGCGATATAAATTCTGATTAAAAAGTACTTATTGTTAAGTTATCAAGAAACAGCTTGACCCGGAAGTTGATTTAATTATTAATAAAAGGAAGTGGCTATGATTTCGGTTAAATATTAGATTGGAAGTTGGTGTCAGACTGTGTTTTTAATCAGCAGATTTTTTCGGCCGCCACAGCACAGAACGAGAATATCGGCCGATTTTGTCAGTCGACCACAGTTTGAGGGTTAAATTAAAATGAAAAGTAAAAGCAATTGTGCAGAAATCATTGAATAAAAGTATTCACATTATAATAAAACCATGCCTACCAGGAACACTGCCCAACATTTTGGCTTTACACAAGACTCTCGTTCTCATTTTTGTTGATTCATCCCTAGTTACACGTGGCTCTGCTAGCACTCCATTCGGCCAGAAGGAATTCCTTAAAAAGAAAACAAACTGAATTTTAGCATTTCATTTTCACCATGTTATTGTTATACTGTTGATATTCTCAATCACTCACTCGAACAAACTCATTTATTCATATACAAGTCCTCACATTTGCCCTTCTGAAACTGGAAATATGCAGGGCCCACTCCGAGCTTCACAAAATACATAGTTCATATGTTCATTGTTCTGTTGCCAACATGCACCGTACAACACAGGAGCCAGAGAAGACTAATCTTGGGTAAAAATCATAATTTTAAAGCATATCCATTTGCTTATTAAATTTTTTAAACTGCTGTCATTAATAATATCATTTATCAACAAACTTAAAATAGGCAAAAGCCCATGGTAAAAAGTACAAAAACTTGCAAATCAATAGCTTTGTTTGACATGACGTTTTGATTCTCAGGACTTACCTGAAGGCCATCATGTATTCAGCCATTTGCTCGGCAGAAGTCATAAAGTCCACATGCTCAACTATTTTTCTGAGAAGATAAACAATTATGAGAAATAAAAATATACTATTTCAAACATAATTCCAAATAACTTCACATACTTGATGAAAATGTCTATTTACATGACGATTTAAAATTTCATGCTTAACTCAAAACAAGGCAAGTTGTTCAAAACATATACAGTATGTGCTAAAAGTATCAGTACTGAAATCTGCCCCCCCCCCCCCCCCCCTTGTGCAGATATATGCGTTTGTCAACTGGGCATTGGTCCAACCACCACATATTCCTAGTAGTGTTGAAAATGGCAGATATGTTGGGCATTTGTTGTTGTCAATGGGTCTAGGAATACGTAGCAGTTGGATTGATGCACCATTGACAAACATTAATAAGCGTACATGATGCAGGAGTTTCAGTACTGTTACTGTTGGTGCATGATGTGTATATATATTGAGATGACAATTTAAACAACTCTGAGATGGCAGTTTAATCAAATTTGTTTAAAAAAAATTTCAATTGAAGTTTTAAAAAATATAATTTCATAATGTAGGATTATATTTAAAATGTCTTAATTGAAACTAATTTATTTTTAGTATATTGATACAGTTCAATAAATGTAATAGTATTTATACATTAGGGCTATTTAATAAACCCATCATGGTTAGAACCAGTAGTGGTAAAAACAAAGATGGTTACCTATTGATCTTGTCGCCAAAAGTTGCCTTTATAAGTTGCCGTAAAATGGCTACAATTCTTCGCCTCAACCACTGATTTTTGTGTCTGAGATCAAACACTTCATCCATCATTAGAAGCATGATGCGGAGTGGAATGTTCTCTCCTGCCTGAAAGGTACAAGTAAAAAGGATTGCCACAATGGTTATTATGCTGTAATAATTAGTCTGGTGGAAAAACATTTAACAACCCTTAAAAGTATAATCTCAAATCCATCAATAGAAATCTTAATTAGGAATTAAAAAAAGACACATTAATGCTTTTCTTGGCTATTTAAATGCTGGGGGAAAGTCTTAACACTTGTCAAATAAGTCATGAGAGTTAAATAAAATTCCTCATCCATCCTAGCCGTGTTTCTAAAAGTAATATTAAAAAAAAGTCTCCTAACTAACCTCAGGATCTAAGCCTGCTCCCACTTTCAGCTGATTCATCGTTTCTCTGGTTTTGTTTTGATCCATCTAGAAAGATATTTTTACATTATTGAAGTGGGCATCCATAAATAAGGTCACACTATTATGTCCCATTTTTAACCCACCCCCACCCTACCCTTACACCACAATTTAGACAGAGGTTAGAGTCCCTGATCATTCATTGTCCCAAATTCCAAACACCCACTCCCCATGGGTTATTTACAAATGGCCACAAAGTAAATATATCTGCCATCATATTTGTTTTGTCAGAACAGCTATTTATTTAATATAACTGCAAACAAAATTTCTTTCTTTACACTTTAACCCTTTGAAAGATGTGTGGGAAATCCCCAATATTTAAAATTAACTAAGCCAAATTCATCAGTGGGCATTTATGCTTAGTGTAATCAACACTTACACTTTTTTGGGTAAACACTTTTCCAAGGCCATCTCCTATACGAGATACACCATCTGGAACACTTTTAACAACATTGCCCATACTTTTGGATGCGCTTTTCAGTGGATGCACTATGGTGTCCATCTATAAAAAATATCATATTTTGTGATAGTTTACTTTTTATTCTTTTTTTCCCTCCATCCTATAATCTCTTAATAGTGCCTGAATGCTAATATCTCAAAGATATCATGAATGATTATACTTTTATTTAAAAGTTGATTTTTTTTTTATGATGTACCTTTGAGATTTTGTTTTATAAAATCTACTTACTTTTCTGGAAAATTCAGATTTATGTTTTTCCCAAATGCCAGTATGAAGAAACTGATTCATCAGTTCTTCAAGTCCTGATATATTCTGCAGCAATTCTGGCTTCATTAAAACCTATGGATCAAAAATGAAAAAATAATCTTCCCTTTAAATCATTCAGATTTAAAATTCTTTATAATATAAAACTAATTGTTTTCATTTCACAAAAACAGTTTCCAAACGAATTATGTATATTTGAAGTTTCAATATAAATGACACTAAATTTTTCATTAAATGTACATCAATTTCCTTTACAAGGTGTACATTTCCTTTCCATTGCTGTCATTATTTTCAAAAAGACCATCATATGTGATGATATTAAAATCTTGAGAGCATAGATTTGCAACTATTTTTTTTATATTTGAGCTTTCATTGTATGGGAGCACATGTATATTAAAATTTTTTTTTTAAATGGTATATGTGTTGTGGGAGCGGGGGGCGAGGTGTGGCATTGTGATGGGCCGGGCGGCAGACAGACAGACAGACCATATAGAAGGGTAGAATTACATAAAAATCTGGTAACAAAACTCAGTCAAAGCTGCATAATGAAAGACATTGCATATTTATTACACTGATTAGTAGACAACAATTTATTGCAAAACTGTTATTTCTAGATCTGCGAATCAATGCAAAAAGCAACCATGACTTATCCTGTTTTTATGCAATTAACTGTTGGTAAAATGAAGAAACAAACACCTGAACATAAAATAAAAAAAATACAGAAATCTAAATAAAAATAATGATTGATAAAATAACTGAGTTTAACCTTTGCTCTTGGTACATTTACCTGTAATAACTATATTAGAGTGACAACCAGATCTGAAACAAGTTTGTATCAGAGAACGACTACCTACTTTAAGGTACTTGTCAAGATCCTTTCTTCGCTTCTCCAGGAAATTTTGACTCATATTTTTAAGTACTGTCTTGCTAGGCAGGACAGGAATTGAAATTTCTGGAAACTAGATGCAGATCAAAGTTAAAGTTGTTGGTATTTGAATGTTTACAACATGATTTAAGTCATTCACGCCAATCTTTTATGGACTAATCAATTTATTTCTTGAGCTATTTTAATATAAAATTTAAATGAGACGAAAATTCATTATTTAATGGTAAAAAATATTTTTTTTTTGTTTTAAGTTATAAATCATTACATAACTCATCATTATTTACTAACAACAAAAGACATTCATTTCCAAATTCACTTAACATGAGAAAAACAATAAAGAAAATTCTATAAGTTGTAACATAAATTAACAATATCATCAAAAAGCAACAACTCTAAACAACTTGTTTGTAGGCAAAATAAGTTGTTAAAATAAGTCGATTTCAGATAGAGAGAGATAACCTGTCTAGAAACACTATTTTAAAAGAATGAACTCATTATTCAAAGTGTTGAAGATATACAGAAAGACAGAGACATTTTAAAATCTATTTTCCTTTACCTTCTCTGTCAGTATCATGTGGAGGTCATGGAAGTCACTATACCTCCTGTAAACATCCCACACATCCTCTTCATCTGAGTAGGGATCTTTTTTATGTACAGTGATAGCGAACACAGCATATGACTTCCCCGTCTCTGGTTCTTTTATAACTCCTTTTAAAATAGCCAGATTAAGGAAGAATATGAAATTTTTAAAAGCTATGGGTAAATTAAAATTTTATTCAACTTATTTTAAGTTATAAAAATGGAAATTTTATGATAATGTCCTGGACAGCCTGTAAAATGGCACCAAGCTAGTCATCATAGAAGCATCTCTAAATGACTACTGCCACCATTATTTAATATCTCTTTAGAGCCATTTTTTTCCCCTCCAAAACTTTCAGTACCTTACCTGAATGTGTGATCTGAGCATGTATATAGGAATCCCCCGATGGAGATCCCGCTGAAGTAGCTGATGAACCAGATCCAATGGAGACAGTGTCAGATCCCATGTCTTCAAATTGAGTATCCAACAAATCTTCAGCCTAAGAGGAAAAAAAACCTTTTCATGTTACTAGCCAGGGTGTAATTTTCTAGACTTGATTCTATTTTATTATATCAAAAATAGTCTTATAAATATTTTGATGATTTGTCAAAGAGGATATGCATTTCACTTCAAATAAAGCACGCTTGTTTTTAAATTATATTCTTGGTAATACTATACCAGGGCAATGAACTGTCTTTTAATTAATTTTTACCTTATCTTGCAAAATAATTATTATTAAGTTTTAAACCCTTAGAAAAAAAATCAAGAATAAATAAGCACTTTTAACCAAATGCAAATCTAAAAAAGTGGACATTATATTTACATGTCTGAATTCATTTTTACAGAAATGAACTATAAAAAACTTCCTACAGTAGAACACCGATAATCCGAATGCCAATAATACTGAAGACCAGCAATCCAAAACGCCCCTGCCTTTTTAAAATTAATATCTTACATCATTTGCATGGCACAGAGCATTAAGCTTAATCTTAAGGATGCCTACTATATGTTAGCAGATGCAGTGGACTCACTGACTGAACAGAATGTGATTCATGCATGGAAGAGCATTGGCCCTTTCCAGCAGACCCCCAAGAAGATGAACAGATTCAGGAAAAAGAACTGTAAAAAATATTCCAGGATGTTTCAAACTTTATCGAAAGCCTTCCTGGATTCAAAGAATGTGATAAATACAATGTCAATGAGTATCTGGAAACTGACATCGGTGACCAAGGATTTTAACTAAAGACAAAAATGTGGACCACCTGAAAGCAGAAGCCGTTGCTGGAAGTGCAACAGATGAAGAAGTATGCGGTGAAAAGGTAAACAAAAACCCCACACATGCTGAGGCCTTTTCTACATTCCAAAATGTCAATGCTGGGTGTGAACCACAAAGTAGTGTAGTGTTGCTCAAAGCAACTTCTGCTTTTGAAAAGGTTTAGGGACTTGGCAGCGAATGTAAGAATTACAAATTTGAAACAATGTAAAAATTGATGATTGCTGTGCATAATTTACTGTACAATATGGAACAACAAATTATAAATTTAAGAATTTATTGTTTTTAATGCACTAACTTCTTTAATGCAACCTTTGGTTATTAAACAAAAAAAGGGTTATCCGAACCTCCACCTATTCCAAATTAGCAAGGATAATCTGCGCTCTACTGTACTTGTTAACAGATAGACAATTGGACAATTTTTGCAGTCATCAGAGGGATTAGCAAATAAAGGAAACAAAAGAATTCAACTCCTTCCTAAGAAATAATGATAATGTCTGAAGTGACAATAACTTGAGCCTACTTAACTAGTAAATATCATTTTACACAAAAATGTTTTCTAGATATAAAATGGCATAGCATTTTTGAAATCTTTATAGCTTTGAACAAATAGAAATAGGCAACCATTGCATCCCAAAAGTAAACAAATATAGAGAAAATGCAACATCAATAAGCAGAGCAGAAATGCCAGCTTTATTTTTAAAAAAAAGTTTTACACATATTTCTTCTTGTGGTTATGTAAAATGGTAAAACAAATTAAATATTATTTAGATTTAAAAAAAACAACATCCTTGATTTCTAGTTCTGTAAGTGTTTAAAATTTTATTTAATTAACTTCCTTAAAAAAAAAAAAAAAAAAAAAAAAAAGAAGTTTTTGAATTAAATAAAAAAAAAAAAAAAAAAAAAAAATTAAATTAAAAAAAACAACATCCTTGATTTCTAGTTCTGTAAGTGTTTAAAATTTTATTTAATTAACTTCCTTAAAAAAAAAAAAAAAAGAAAAAAAAGGGAGCTTTTGCATTATCTTCATAACAAAAAATGAACTGACATTTTCATTAATAAATTAGTCAGCACAAATAACTTACACTTCCCAAAGAACACTCTGACCCAGTTGGAGCACTTCCATCTAAACAGTGGAAAGTGAGAAGAAGAAAAAAAAATAAAAGGAGGCAGTCCAAGCTCAGAGCACTGTTTATCATGCAGGTGGTTTAGAAAATATAAGAACTGGTTACCCAAAATAAACTTTTAAAACTATAATAAGCCAGGGAATTGAATGTAAAAGAAGAAAACAGAACAAGAATTCTTATAGTATTTTTTGGATATAGAAATGCTTGAAAATGTTAGGATTAAAATAAATGCTAAAGTGGACCAAAAAAAATGTTTTAGTAAACATTAAGCCCAAAGCTGAATTCAATGGAAATATATCTAAAGAATACTGTGATTTTTTTAAAAAAAAATCCTTTTTTTTCACAACCCGTTTAACTTCACATATGTGTTAAACTGCAACAGTATAATATATCTTTTTATCCCAATTTATTTTAACACTGATTATTGGCTTTTTTGGTGCAGTCAAAGAATGTGTTTTTAAAGTTCATAGTCTTTTATGAAAAATTATTAACACATAATTTGAGGAATTCATGATTCAAAGAGGAATAAAACAGATTAAAATCTGGTTTTTAAATGAAAGCAAATTAAAAAAAAATAAATTTATGTTATCAGTTTAGCAGTCTTGACCAATACATAAAGCAGTAGTCTCATTAACACTGTTATGCAAAGCTAGCTTGTTTGTCAGGGTATGATTTGAAAATATGTACAAACCTTTTAACAGAATAGACCTGGTCCCAAGACTAATTTAAATGGGTTAAGGCTCATGTGCTCTACATGTGGTTGTCCTACTGACAAGCAAACCTAATCATTCTTCATGCAAGTCATGTGTGTCTTGCACATTTGATTTTAACTGATGGAAATAAAGGCATCACTGAAGCCCACTCTCACTACAATTTGAGCTATGTATTTACAGTGAAAGCAAATGAAGATGGCTAAGCAATCAGTAAAAAAAAAAAGAATCAGCAATTCATCTACATTTTTCATGCTTCTATTTGACCTGAAAGACTACCTACTTTAAACCACAAAATTCTTGGAACTGAAAAAGTAAATAAAAATACTTGTGGTAAGTCTATGCTATACTGAACAAACAGACGTTGTATGGGTAACTGTAAATTAACAGTAACTTTATTAATTAAAAGATCAATGGGTTTAATTTTTAAAAAAATATTTTTGGGAGTAGATGTGGTCCACTCTACTCCCAAAAGAGGCAATACTACATGTCAAAGTAAGGATTCCAGCTGAGAGTCAGTGTCAATCCACTGACAAACTTACTTTTGCTGTAAAAAAAACTTTATAAATTGCTATGCAATGTGTACCATAATATTAAAATTTCTAGAAAGTTTCAAAGTTACTTTTCAGGTAACTCTTATTTAGATTGTTTATTTAGATAAATTAAGATTATTTAGATAAATCTTTAAAAATTCTTCCCGACATAAACATTGAGTTTGAACTTGTTTGAGTTAAGTTGTTAAAGACTTGAATGTATTGTGTGATTGTGTGTTTTTTTAAGAGATTATGTGTGTCGTTTTATCTATTATTCTTAGTATCTTGTGACGTATTGGGTGAAAGGGGATATGATGTATCATTGTTATTGAGTAGTGTGGTCTTTGAGTACAGTAATGGAAGTTGAAGAATTAGTTCATTAATAAAGATATTTAATGTAAGAATTATAGTTTGTGTAGTTATTAAAACCCCTAGCCAGAACGAAGCCATCAAACCTTAGGGTAGAACCGAGTTCGTAACATAATTTCTAATTAATTCCCATTTATAGGGAGCTTTCCTCAGTAAAGCCTTTAAAGGCCTACTTTAATCTAGAAATTATCATATTACCTGCAAACACAAAAATGTTCAACAAATCTGACTACCATAAAACACATTTGAATATTTTAATGCCTAGCAATTAATGTGAAGACAAGATAACAACTTATCATTACCATCCTCCATGCTGAGGTTGTCCCCGTCCTCCCCTTTGTTATGGAGTAGACCAAGTTCTCCCAGAAGCTTCATGTAGGCTGGACTTTGCAAAAAATCTTCATAGTACTCACAGTGGAGGATTTGATAAACCTGAAATATGGTTTTACTTAAGCATTTACACACTGCTAATAATACACACAAACTTGGCACATAGAGTTTGAGAGCAGATGGACAAGCTTGCTCCTTTTAAACATTTTTTTTAGGGTATCTGATTATTAGGATCTTGAGCTATTCTTATCTTCATGAGGACAAATAGGCAAGATATGTGGTTCCTAATGGGCTTCAAGAGATGTAACCTGGCTGATGTTTTCCCCATGACACTCCACTTCAGATTTACCACATATTTTATTTAACTTAAGGAACCATGGCTGTCTTAGCTGCATGGTTTTTATCCACCAAAACTCTTCCAGTCAAGATGTGGTTTCCTGTGCAACATAGTTATTGCCACAAAGACCAACCTGACAGGACTCGGTTCCACCCTGACAGTGCTCATCAGTGAAAACAAGGACATACAGAGGCAACTTCCACTAAGGAAACCCTCAGACCTGTCTCTAAATGGCCTAGTCTGCCAATCATCTTGGAAAGAATTTGTAGCACATATTTGTGCAAACTTCTCCACTTCCCAACATATCAGAAATGCCAATAGTTATGAGTAACAAATTTCTATGTGGAGGATCTGTGTCCTTATAAATCTGGTATTTGAGCTTATTAATTTATGTTAGTTTTCTTTGGTGTTGTCAATAGAAGGGCATTTTCATATAGGCCAATAAAATAGAAGGGCATTTTCAAATAAGCTAATAAAAATTTATGAAGAAAAGTCTTGTTGGATTGTTGAAATGACAATAAAAAAATATTAAATCAATTTTTAAAATATTTTTTTAAAACACATTGTCAGACTTACCCTGGCCTGCACAATATCAAAAATATCTTCAGATAACATTTTGTTTTTCATTTTTGCGACAGTGTACTTGATGTACTGAGGCTCAATTTTGAGTCTTGAAGATGCCTGCAATAAAAAATTGACAAGTTAAGTTTAAGCAGTGAAAACAGAGGTGCTAAAATAAAATGTGCTTTCTTTTAGGAGTAATACATAAGAGATATTTCTAGAATAAAATTAAAGATGGATGGTGTGCACTAATAATGTAAAAATTACATTTCATTAACCTTTTCTGATAAGTATTGATCAAATATAATTTTTGCAGCTCTTCGCAGAGATTCTAAATCTGGCTCAGCTGCAGTGACAGAAGATAGAGTTAGTTTCTGCATTTCTGATATCTGTTGCTCTGCAGCAGCCCTGAAACCCTATTTAAAAGAAATCAGTGATTAATTCATAATACATGTAGTGAAAATTAAACTTTATTAAAATTATTATATGTTAACTTCACTACAAATATGAAAAGATAAAATAATCTTAAACAATGTTATCACCTGATGCATTAAAATAAAGCTATGTGTAAACAATTTAAATGTTACCAGTACATGCTTTCGATGGAAATTTAACCATTTTGCCATGTTCATTTTAACAGGTACCTACCTCAACATTTAAATAAAAGAACAAATATTGTTGACCACCTCTATTATTCATGTATTCTGTAGGAACAAAAATATGGAAAAAATTCTAACAAGTGTTCTATGTTTTAATAAAAATAAAACAATATTTAAAAAAAGGAAGACATTTAAAGTTAAAATTTTATTTTCATGTCTTCCAGGAATAAAAGAAGTAAAATATTTCATTTGACAATATTTATAAAATAATAGTTATTGTATTACTCCTATTGTTCTTGGTAAACCCAATATCCCCCCACCCCCAACACAGTTTAAAGGCTGCTTCATAAATTTTATTAATTTAAAAATAAACTTGTAACATTAAAAAAACAAATCTAAAATAAACCTACCAATGAAAGCCTGCAGAGCCACGTTGTTATTGAAAATTTCATCCAAGGTTAATACATACAAACTATTGTACCGTAAATTATCTGGCCCCTTGAGGAAAATGAAAATGACAAGGTTTATAAAGTTACCAAAAAAAAATTTGAATTAAAACTTACAGTTTAACACAAAATATTATCAGATTTTAATTCAATTTTAAAGCTTTGATTCCCTTCTTTTAGGACACAATACTTAAATAATAAATCTAACAAAGTAAAATCTAACAAAGTTTACTTTGTTAACAAGGTTTGTGAAACAGTTGTTTAAAAAAAGTATGTGCTTTCAAGTCAAAAGAAGTGATTCAAGACTGATTTTAATTGTTCTTACTTCAATTAACTGCTCATGAGAGCCAATGCCACTTTTGAGCCTACGAATTCTCATGTCACAGGTGTCACGGAGAAACATCAAGCTGTTCAGATTTTGTTTTATGGCAGTGTCTGCAAGGTGAAAATAAAATGTGCGCAATTTAATTTTTTTTTTTAAGATAAGGAATCCATATGTGATTGGTATTGGTTGAAAAGATGAAGGTATAATATTTAATCATTTTTAGCTTAAAGATATGGCAATGACTGCTCTTTCAAACAATAAAGCTAAAATAAATTATTTCTTGTAAATCTTCCCGTGAAATACATATTTTAGTTTTACACAACAAAGAAATCAATACAGATTCTTTTCTTTATCTCAGCTACACAAAGGACATGTGTCAAATATATTTAAAAAAAAAAAAAAAAATCATTTTAAATGTTATATCAAAATAACTAAATAAATTATTTCTTTTAAAACTTCCCGTGAAATAAATATTTTAGTTTTAAACAAAAAAGAAATCAATAAAGATTTTTTTTTTTATTTCAGCTAAACAAAGGACATGTGTAAAAAAAATTTAAAAAAAAAAAAAAAAATCATTTTAAATGTTATATCAAAATAACTTATTTATACAATGTAATTACATGTAAATAAATATACCATAAATAGATATTTTAATAACAAAGCCTATAATTTAAAAAATGAATATTGCCATAGAATAACCTACCATCACTACCTCCAGTGTCTTTGGAGCGCCATTTGGCAATATCACTATCAACCATATCTCTAACAGCCTCTAACTCTTCCATTGAGTCACTAGAGCGTATCACAGTCAAAAAAGTCTCGCGAGTAAATGAAGTCTCATAACACTGTAGTACAATATATCAAATACAACACTATTATTATAGCTCATTTAAATGATGAAATTAACCATACTAATAATAATGTAAAACCCCAGTTGAAAATAAAGTCAAAGGTTTTAAATTGGTAAATTTAACAAAATGGTTCTCTATATAATTTGTATAACTATTCCAAAATGTGTACAAGTGATGCAGATTTACCTACCATCCAAGCCATGTACTGGTTAATGTAGTCAGGGTCTGACAACAAATCTATAGTTGGAAGGAATATACCATTGACTAGAACTTCCTGGGAACATAAGGCATATAATAAAAAAATTAATTAATAAATAAGCATGGCTAAGGTAAGTGCACAAATGAACATTCATACAAGGTATACAATTGGAATATATGGAATATTCTAATGTTAGGTCTAAAACGTAAGAAAGATAAAAACGTAAAGGGAAACAAACTATGACCATCCACCTTAAATTTAAATTCACAAGGATCATTTAAAGATTTATAAAATTTAAAACATGTTCTTAAGCTTGATCTCATCCAAGACGTAACGGTTTGAATTTTTTTTGGGGGGTTTAACGCTGGTATGAAATAGAATGAGTAATGCAGCTAATCTTGGGGAGGAGGTAACCTCTGAGTAAAATCCCTCAACCATAAAATGTGTCAGTCTACACAATGAGTAGTAGTTTTAAAAGTTAAGTTACAGCTGCCAGAATAAATGCCTGAACTTGAAAAAAAAAAAACAAAGTAAAAAAAAAACAATAACCACTTATGGAAAAAAAATTTAGGACAAATAGAACCTGACATATTTTTACAGTTTAAACACATGCCAATTTACTTCAAAGGGTTTTTATTAATGAGTAGTAGTTTTAAAAGTTAAGTTACAGCTGCCAAAATAAATGCCTGAACTTGAAAAAAAAAAAACAAAGTAAAAAAAAAACAATAACCACTTATGGAAAAAAGATTTAGGACAAATGGACCCTGACATATGTGTACAGTTTAAACACATGCCAATTTACTTCAAAGGGTTTTTATGTACAGAAAGTGAATTTCTTTCAAAACAATGATGCTCTTCAGTAAAATTATTTAATGATTCCTTTTGCATTTCCTGCATAGATACTTACACGAACGATGTATCGAAATGGTTTATTGTGGAAATCCTCCTTGGGCAACAATAAATATAATAACACTTCACTGAGGTCTTGTAAATATTCTGGAACATAATTTTAATAATATAATTTTTTTTAGAACTCGTATAAAAAAAACAAGATTTTATTTCCTTTGACTATCTTATTTTAATCGTTTTGTTTTATTTAAACAAGAATATTATTTTGTTATTAATAAAAAATGTATGCAGTGAAAATCTAGAACAAAAGTTGCATAAAGATATATTTGTTGACTTACGCCTTTCAGCCTCTGGATCTAAACACACTAAATCTCTACACATGTTATTTTCCATCTCTACTTCCATATCAAAGAATGCACTCTCAAGGGCACCAGCATTATCTGGTTGAAAAGACATTTAGAGAAGAAATTTTGGCAAGGCTACCATGAAAAACTATTCTGATTTAGTTCTGCACAAAGGAGAATTATTTGTCACTTCATTCAATGGGAGTAGAACACACTTAAAAAGAATTAATTGAAGGAAATTTCATTAAATAAAAAATTAATTCTGTCATCTTTAAGTTTTCATGTATTATTGTGGATGACACAGTCCCTATGACTGATAAAGAAAGCATTCTGGAAGACAGGAATCAAATTCTGGTAAAAGTAAAAACAATACATGCCATGCCTCACCCCCACAAATGGCGGACTATTAGGTTCTTACACTTGCAATTACTAACTTAGTAGAAGCAAATTCTATTGTAATGTTAAGAGAAAAAATTTCACACCTTCAATTTTTGATACTGTTGTCTTTTCTGCTGCCCTGCGGTATAGTCGAATGTGAGATGCAAAGTCATCCACAAGTCGTTGAGTAAAATATGGCATCCAGTCTATCTCTTTTGATCTATTAGGAAGAAAACAAATAAGTTTAATAAAAATCTTAAAACATAAAATTGTTGACCTGTATTAGAGGACACATAGTATTTTAAATCTCAGAATTTGAGTACCATTTATTTCCAAAGTTAGCCCCTGTATAATAGTAAAGGTTAACCAGACTTGGCAAAAATCAATACTAAATAATCTGGGCTGGTACCAGCCAGATAAAACACAATCTCTAGAGCTTTAATTTTTTTTTTCAACATCCTAACATACCTATTTGAAAATGTAATGATCACTTTCTGAGCGCACTGCCATATGTCAACAAGAAAACTATCATGGTCACTTATTTGTCGATACCAGGTTTTAATGTAATCCTTTACTACATATTCCAAAACCTGAAAAAAATATAAATAAACCAGTCACCCTTAGGTTATACTAAAATAAGTTAAAACAAGAAGTTCTGTAAATACAAATCAAGAAACAAATTTCTTTTTATACAATATCAAATAAACTTTACTGAATAACCAATTTTAATGCCCTTTTGGATAGTACTGCAAAAAAAAAAAAATAAACCGTTCTTAAATATCCTCTGTATAAAAAAAAATGTGATAAATTCTGAAGCTATTAAAGACTGTCTCAGTGGTTGTCTAAACTGCTTGCTTTCTTGGAATAAAAACAGGTGTGTCTGCAATTTAAAAATATATATCGACTTTTACATTTATTTTGTAGTCAGAGGCTTTGCTTTAGTGATGGTTCATACATTGAATGAAGCCCTAAAGAAAAAAAAAAGGGATTTTTTCCCCCCCCCCCCCCCTCCTCGCCCACACTTCCCTAAACTGAATTAAGAAAAAATAATACCTCCTTTAAGACATCATCAATTACACTTGCACCAGTCATACGTTTATCAAAGTTTTTTATTTTAGTGGTTGGCTCCATGGATTCCTTTACCTGTACAAAGTGAAGATGTTTATTATGAAAAAACCCATAAATTAAGCAATTACCAAGTTAAAAAGTCAAGGGGAAAAATATATAAAAATAATATTTATTTTTAAAAACAACAACCTTCAAGCAATATTAATTAGATAAGGCGTTATCTATGGAATTAAATTCTCAAAATTGCTAAAAATTGATGAAGTTAAAGAAAACTAGAGACAAGTATGAATTCTAACAATTTTTTTCCATCAGTGGGTCTGTTACATAGCTTTTAATTAAGATTTTTAAACTGTGAATTCAATTGTAAAGAAAGAAATATGTACTTTCTAATTAGTTTTTTTTTTTATTATTCATAGTTAAAGTTTAAACTTTTTGTAGATAATTTAATAATGCGTTTTTTAGGTTAGCTGATTTGCTAAGTGCCACTTTCACCACAAAAAGCTATAAAAAATTAGCTTTTAAAAGCAAGGTTTACTGATGATAAAATCTAAAGACTGCTATAAATCACAACTTAATTGAGGACAGAGAGTTATTATAAGATAATACTTTTTATACTGTAAATAAAAAAGAGACCATGGAATTGGATATTGATTAAAAAAAGCAAAATTTACCTTTTCAATGCCACCATGACCAAACTGGCCAACTACTAAAGATGTCTCAGCAACATCTATGTCAATGGCTTGTTTACCAAAATTGTAAACAATTAACAATGCTCTGGAATTAAAAATAAATGATATGATGAGTCACATAGCTCTTTCCTTGGTTATTTAATTATTATTTTTTTTTAAATCTATTAAAAAAAAATGTATACTTACCCTGAAATAAATGCCAATGAATACAGCAGGAGTAAAATTGCAAATCCACCAAAAGATATAAAAATTAAACAGATTCCTAGTAAAAGCCAGAGTAGTGTATTGTTGGGTGCAGCCATCTAGAAAGAAACGGGAACAAAATGATTAAATAACTGTTTGCTGTAAATACTTACTGAATAACTTAACTAATGTCCTAGCTCAAGGAGAAAAACAAAGACATATAGCGTGATATGTCACATGGGTTCTTTTATGTAAGACATAGGCTTAGATTGTACCCTAGGATTAACATGATATATTTTAGTGTTTATTTTTTAATCCCTTCAACATTAAGCAAATGACTTAATTGTGAGAGTGCTGATCAAATTTGAAGAATGTGTGTATAAGGGCCTATTTACCATGGTCTTAACTAGGATAGAAATACATTAAACCATTAACTAGCGGCATAGCTGATGGAGACCATGTCAGCAGAAGCTTTACTTAAGACTGTTTTAGATAAAGTAGTATAAATTTTTAAAATTAAAAGATGTGTAGTTTTTTAAAATATTTATTTATTTATACAATTGCATTGTCATTTCCTGAGATATAAATTGATTTAAAACCTGGCGGCCAAAAAAGTATTACCTATTGAACCACTGCGCAAGATATTTTTTTCTAAATAAGACAACCTAACTATTTAGAACTGACTAATCATGGACTACCAATAGATGACCTTAACTCTCACCCAAAAAGACATACATTTATGATTGTTTAGTTAAAACTTTGGCCTGGTATGTGATAAATAAAATACCCCTGAAACATGTGTAAATGCCCAGTTACTTGAAAACTGCTTCACCAGTCAAGAACAAGAGGAAAATGTCAAGTTAACAATACACTAATCAATGGCAAATTTCTTGCCAGGGCTGGTTGCTTGTCAAGTTACTGATAAGGGTCTGATTTCATTTTGGCAATATGTGGCTAATTTCCCATAATCGTCAATGCCAAATTATGTTTCATTGTCATCTAGTGTATAGGATATAGTATGATTATGGTTGAATATGTCAAAATTATTTACAATAATAAGAGACTGTTGGTATTAATCAGTATAATATTACAATCAAAAGGATTTAGCCTTTTTAAATAATGACAGAATAATAATTTCAGTTCACGAGTAATATAAGTATTACAAATTTTTTTTTTATTGATTATCATCTGATAACATATGACATATTATAGACTCTAGGGCCTATATGAAATAATAATTATTTTTAAGAATCATATTTTATAAAATAGGAGAAGAGTGGAGCCTATTTTTGTCACTACCCTAAATTATAGCTAAGCCATTTTATGAGGGGAGCATTAGTGTGGACATTGGTGAATAATCTAATCACTGATGATTTACTGGGGTATATGACAACACAGTCTAGAGTCTTCACACTTCAATCATCTACTCTTCAGTTTTAGTATTTAAATTCCAATTGCCAGTAGGGCATACCTATGTATGACAATATTATAAAGCTAAAAGGCCTAGACTGACATCTAATGCAGATGGTCTAAGTCTGGAGAGTCTGACTCTGGTCAAGTTTGGTGTATTACGTCTACTCATTTGATGATTTTATTTCTAGACACTAGACTGACAATTCACTGTGTACAGTGTTGGTTTTAGGTAGGCAATATAGACAGCTACCTTGAGTGGTATTTTTCAAATAGTGGCAAATTTCAGCAGATAAAAATAAAATAATAATTTTTTTTTATATGACGCAAATGGAGTGAACGTGAGTTAGTAGAGTACTAAATTGAAGAGGATCTTTTGTTCCTTGAAACTCTTGATTGGTTTCTTATGATATTTTTTGTTTAATTCAAAAGATATACATGTACACTGGACTGTATTATAAGAATATGTAAATGAGGCTGTAGGTTTAACTGTGTGTGTAGGGGGGTGGGGGTATTTTATCCTATACATTACAGGAAGTCATTTTCTGCCAACTACAAGGTTGCGTTGAGTTTTTTTTAGGAAGGGATGGCAAAAATCTTGGTTCGTCCCAGTGATGCACACGTTTCAGTTAGTGTTTCACTAAATGGATCACATGAAACTCAGCCAAGTGCAGAGGCTAAGGGAATGGCAAAAATAAAAAATCCTCGATTTCAAGATCATTTGTGATTTTATATTTTGTTTTACATTAATATATTTAGCAAAAGGCTTCAAACAAAAATCAATTGAAAAGTCAACTTTTTAAAAAAAGGAGGAAAAAAATAGCGATGGTCCAGAATTACAGAACAGAAGAGGTCTTTGTTTAAGTAATTACGACAGCTAAATCATTGGCAGAATATTAGTAACTTATTTAGTATTATCGTGACATTAAAAAAACTAGAGAAATATGATAAAAATTCTTAAAAAGGAAGTTTTGAATTCAAAGATTGCATGAGCCTTCAATAAGCTTTAGAATCTGAAAATGAAGATTCAGCTGATATTTAAAAAATAAACAGAGCTTTGTGATGAAAGTAAAGTAACAGAAAAATCAAGCCAAAGAGTTAGAGGAATATATGACTATCTATGTCGGATTGGCTTGGTTTCTCCTTTTCAAGTGCGTAGGTGAATATTGCTAACATCCCCAAAAACACTTTTGAGTAAAGAGAGAACTTTTTTGACACTTATTTAACAGTGCATATCCCATATGCCTCCAGATCGTTTGGTGGGTTTAGCTACTGTATACATAGAACCACTGCAGGAGAGTTTGTTATGAATGAAATAATTCACGCTTTTGCCTCTGCTAAAGTGCCTAAGTGCCAAATCATGAACTGGAAAAAACGGGACACATCCAAGGAGGGTTTGGGGGGATACCCTCCAGTTACAGAGGGGTCCGGGGCCTCTGCCGGAAACTGTTTATTGAAATATGCTCATTTTAACTATTTTGAGTTTGAGACCGAGAAATCTTTAAAAATTTAACTTCACTTTAGAAATTTAATTTGATCTCTGAGGCATATCATAAACGAAAACAATAATTTTGCTGTGAACACTTATAAAATAATTATACACATAAGATCTATGGCAGGGACACTGTCGTTTAAGCAGCGTCGGCAGAGTAGTGGATGGAGAAAAGACTGAAAAGTGCAGCTATCACGCGAGCCCGCATCACTACTGGCACTGGCTACACAGCTAGCCAAACTATTACTTCATTCAAGTGATAGCCTACTTATACAACTATAATGTCTATACATCATTAAATGCCTATAATTTAATAATAAATTAAGAAGTTTTAGTTTTAGTGATTTGAAATTGAAAATGTCAAAATGTATTTGGTTATAGAAACGGGACATTTAGGCGTCCCAAGATACTTTTTCGGGACACCGGGTACAATCGTGAAAAAACGGGACAGTTATAGTTATAGTCAACAAAGCGTTTTCACTTCGTCTTCACTGTCGCTATCACTATCCACACCATCATCAGCAGTCCCTCAACTTGAGGGTCAAGACTCTCAACTCAATTATTCATCAAACTGCTAACTACTAATTAACGAGACGACCTGATGCATATTTTACAGACCTTAGAAATTAAATTGATGTATATAATGTATTTTCATTCCACAAGGTGTTCAGTCCAATCAATTTCATGGCTTTCAATATTTTATCTACTTTGTAATCGTACTGGTGTTGCTTTTTGAGAAAGGCAACTCCCATTCATTCAGCCATATTAATTGTGGTTTTTAACTTGATCTAAGCCAATCAAAAAATACCTTTGCTAAGTTAAAAATCTTGGACCACTGTTATTAACAGTTGCTGAAACGAAATATCACTACTTTAAATTCCTATCAATATTACCCCCCCCCCCCTCCCCCAACCTCCTTTTCCTTCCTTTCAAAGAAGATGAATTTTGACACGCTAGTTTAAACATTAGTACCACTATTAATTTAAAAGAATTATAGTAAAAAATACCTTTTCTAAGTTAAAAATCTTGGACCACTGTTATTAACCGTTGCTGAAACGAAATATCACTACTTTAAATTCCTATCAATATTACCCCCCCCCCCCTCCCCCAACCTCCTTTTCCTTCCTTTCAAAGAAGACGAATTTTGACACGCTAGTTTAAACATTAGTACCACTATTAATTTAAAAGAATTATAGCATGATTATTGATGGTGTGCATTGCGTGAACTCCCCATCTACTAAAGTTACTTGACAAAACAAGCATTCAATTCATTGTAACGCACCTTATTAAAAGAGTTCCTCTTTAAACCACCCCCGAACTATATTCATATACCTCATCCATCATCCATCATCTTCCCGTTACATTACCCCATCACATCTCCACTGAGCCCATAAAATATCATGTATCCCTCAACATTACCCCTAAATGTCTCTCACTACCCCCTCCAACTCACTACCACCTCACACTCTGAGTTAAAATGGACCCAGACACGCAGTGGCGCCATTCGCACCCGGGTACCATTAGACGAAAGCTATTCGGATGTCATTTGTGGTAGTTTATTTTAGTTAAACTGAAGAATTAAGTTTACAAAAATATATTTCATTCAATTATCTTTCATCTGATACCTCATTTTGTCTTACAAAAACAACAATAATATTTTTAAGAGTTTTTTAATCCCAACCTCTCACTTCTGGTACCCGGGTACGAATAGTCGCAGCCTTTCCTCAAACTTAACATAATTTCTCTCCTTCTTCCTAATGCTCCTCTACCCTTACATACCAAAACCCACAGTGCCCATACCCATGTAAAACACTAGGCAGTTTTCCCATTAATCCTTATAGACCACCATGGTCGCCCGCAGGTAGGGGCAAGGGGGGCACTTGCCCCCTCCCCTGGATTGATTGGATAATTTTTTTTTAGACAAAAATAGACAAAAAAATTATTAAAGTAAAGAGAAAATAAAGAGAAATTAACTAAGCTGATGTCCTGTCCGTTCGTTCACCATACAAATACGCTACAGTTACCTAAAACCATATTAAAACATTACTAAAAATTGTTTGCCCCCCCCCCTGGAAAGTTAATCGATTTTTTTGCCCCCCCCCCAGAAAGTTTTCTGCGGGCGCCCATGTACACCACTATCCGTCTCCAAGTAGCGTCACTAGGGTTGGTGTCCCCCAGTGCGGTAAACTCAAGGTGTCACCCCTCCGGCTTCCATATGGTTGGACCCTGCTCTGGTGCCACACTGCTATTGTATTTCACTTCATGTACTGTGATCAGTTCAGTGTCGTCTTAAGGCATGGGCTCAGTGGGCACTGGCCCCGGGCCCCACGCTTGTAGGGGGCCCCACGTTTCTAGGAGACTCACCATTATAGAGGTATCATGCTTTACATATTTTTTTTAATGAATATTGAAAGATTTTGACACTTGAATTGGATTTAAAATTCCCACATTTTCCAAATTTTAACCCACGATATATATCAGTACATTCCAAAAATAATATTATAATTGCGAATCAAAGGTGGAAAATTTTAAAACTTTTCAAGGGGAATAACTGTCGTCAACAAGTTTCAATTTTCCTAGATATGAATCGAAAAAAAAAAAAAAAGCAAGAATCAGCTTCGCAGTAAAATGGGACAAAACCGTTTGAACTGGCTTTCACTTATGTGCTTGGAAAATGACATCCCTAAGACCATTGAATTTAAAACAATAATAAAACAATTCTCTGACAAAAAATTACGCAAACGATTATGATGATTTATATTAAATAATTTATTCTACCTATCAGTAAATAATTATAATTGATCATCTCTGTTATTATGCATAATTTATTTATGATGTTTTTAAACTATTATTGATTATGAATGATTTTGTTTTTTGTATCAATAAATTGAATTAATCGAAGTTTAACTTTATTTAATGTTTATATTCTTATTTTACATGTTTATTCCTCTTGGTGAGTTGGTGGGGAGCAGGAACTGTTTGCCCCCCCCCCC